CTTTGCTAAGCTGAGCAGCTGCATGCCCCTTTAAAAACGCCCCCTCGGCATGCCCTGCTCCGATGGTCTGCCCGCCAGATCTGCTGCAGCAGGAACTGGACTGCCTGCGACGTACGTACACACCATTTGCCGAGTTTGCTGCTCTGCCGACCACACTTGCGGGCAGCTTTTCGAGCACCTCCCTCGCTCCTGCTGCTCCCGCAGCAGCAGCCGCTTCTTCTTCTGTTGCAGTGCCCCTCCCCCGACGTCGCAAAGCAGCCGCTTCTCCGAGGTTAGAGCAGGATTGCCGGCAGGAGCGGCTCCAGCAGTTCCTTTGTGCTGTACGGCATCCCCTGGGTTCGCTCGTGCTCACGATTGGCTTAGAGCTAGACGGCCTAAGAGTCAGTGCTGCTTCTCGAGAAGACGCTTCTGCGCTTCTGCTCGCCACGTTGCTGCTGCTGCTTTTTCGCCGAGAAGGCAGCCACTCAAGCTGGCTGGCTGCCTCTCGAAGGAAAGGCTCTCTAAGAGCGTGTCGTCTCTCCCCGAAACGCCTCCACACACTTCGACCACAGCCGCCGCTTCTCTCTCTGCTGCCTTGCGTTTCTGCCTCTTCGCAGCTGCTGCACGTCGCCTGCCTCCCCCACCAGACGCCGCAAGCCGCTCTCAAGGCTCAAGATCAGAGGCAGCAACACGCACCCAAGCAACATCAGCAACTGCTACTGCGAGAGGCGTGGGGTATCCGCGATCCTGCACCCCTTCCCGACACACTTTTTGAATCCTTCGAAGGCTTGCTGCAGGCTGTGTGTCCTACAGAGTTTCAGCGCATGCAGCAAGCGCTGCTGCTGCAACGGCTAAAGCTGCAGCCACGACGGGCAGGAGTAGGGGGCACTCCAGAAACTACGCCGTAAGGACAGATTTGTTTCCGATCGCCGCTACAGCTCCACATACACCTCATTCCGCAGCCTCTTTAGCGACGCAAAGGACTGCTCCCACCAAGACGCCTACGGGTAGAAAGCGATCCTCCAGTGACAGGCGCTATCCAATGGAAGCCTTGGCACGCGTAGACGTGCTTCATCGCTCCTTCCCCGGGAGACGATGGGCTGAACTCCGCATCGACTTAGACTCACCTATTGCTGTCATCAAAGACAAACTGCACAAACATACAGGTACACACTCCATCCTTGTACAGTCACCTCCTGCTATGGAGCCCGTTGCTGCTGCTGTTGCTGTACAGAGCCTCCTATTGCTGCTGCTGCTGTTGCTGTATAGTGCCTCCTATTAACGCTCCTGCCGTTGCTCTATAGCGCCTCCTATTGCTGCTGCTGCTGTTGCTGTATAGTGTCTCCTATTGCTGCTGCTGCTTTTGCTGTAATGCCTCTTATTGGCGCTCCTGCTGTTGCTCTATAGCGTCTCCTATTGCTGCTGCTGCTGTTGCTGTACAGAGCCTCCTATTGCTGCTGCTGCTCTTGCTGTAATGCCTCTTATTGGCGCTCCTGCTGTCGCTCTATAGCGCCTCCTATTGCTGCTGCTGCTGTTGCTGTATAGAGCCTCCTATTGCTGCTGCTGCTCTTGCTGTAATGCCTCTTATTGGCGCTCCTGCTGTTGCTCTATAGCGTCTCCTATTGCTGCTGCTGCTGTTGCTGTATAGAGCCCCCTATTGGCACTGCTGCTGTTGCTGTATAGCGTCTCCTATTGCTGCTGCTGCTCTTGCTGTAATGCCTCTTATTGGCGCTCCTGCTGTTGCTCTATAGCGTCTCCTATTGCTGCTGCTGCTGTTGCTGTATAGAGCCTCCTATTGGCACTGCTGCTGTTGCTGTAATGCCTCTTATTGGCGCTCCTGCCGTTGCTCTATAGCGTCTCCTATTGCTGCTGCTGCTGTTGCTGTATAGCGTCTCCTATTGCTGCTGCTGCTCTTGCTGTAATGCCTCTTATTGGCGCTCCTGCTGTTGCTCTATAGCGCCTCCTATTGCTGCTGCTGCTGTTGCTGTATAGCGTCTCCTATTGCTGATGCTGCCCCTGCTACTGTGTAGCGTCTCCTATTGCTGCTGCTGCTGTTGCTGTACAGAGCCTCCTATTGCTGCTGCTGCTTTTGCTGTAATGCCTCTTATTGGCGCTCCTGCTGTTGCTCTATAGCGCCTCCTATTGCTGCTGCTGCTGTTGCTGCATAGCGCCCCCTACTGGCACTGCTGCTGTTACTGTAACGCCTTCTATTGGCGCTGTTGCTGTATAGCGTCTCCTATTGCTGCTGCTGCTGTTGCTGTATAGCGCCCCCTACTGGCACTGCTGCTGTTGCTGTAACGCCTTCTATTGGCGCTGTTGCTGTATAGCGTCTCCTATTGCTGCTGTTGCTCTATAGTGCCTCCTATTGTTGCCCCTTCTACTGTATGGCACCTCCTATTGGCGCTGCTGCTGTTGCTGTATAGCGCCTCCTATTGCTAATGCTGCCCCTGCTACTGCATGGCGCCTCCTATTGCTGCTGTTGCTGTATAGCGCCTCCCATTGTTGCCCATGCTACTGCATGGCGCCTCCTATTGCTGCTGTTGCTGTATAGCGCCTCCTATTGCTAATGCTGCTACTGCATGGCGCCTCCTATTGCTGCTGTTGCTGTATAGCGCCTCCTATTGCTATTGTTGCCCATGCTACTGCATGGCGCCTCCTATTGCTGCTGTTGTTGGTGTTCAGGAACTGCCAGCAGCCACATGGAGCTGCAGCTTATACTACCTGCTGCTGCAGACGGCCGTGAGTCTGCGACAGTGCCACTCATCGACGCCGACGAGCTTTCTCTAAGGTGCGTAGACAGCAGCGGGGGATCTGCTCTTCTGCAGATTCAGAAGAGGGAAAAAGGAAAAGCCTTTGCGAAAAAGCAGTCTGGGGGCGTGTCGAGGATCTTGTACAGGCTCCATCCGTTCTGGCATGCCTGTGGTGCTCCAGGATGTTTGGATGCTTGCCGACTGGCTGTACACTGGTGATCATCGACAGCTGTGCAGGCAGCAGCTTTGCGGCGGGAGGCGCTGCAGACGTTGCAGCGGCCGCTGCGGCAGACGGAGACGCCGACATCTCCAAGCGGTACGTGATGTCGGATGAAGTCTACGATCAGCGCGATGAAAGCATGCGGAAATTCCTGAGGAACCTGCAGGCTGCTAGGCCGGATTTGTTCGAGCAGCCGCAGAAGAAGGAAAAGGAGGAGGAGGAGCAGCAGCAACAAAAGCAGCAGCAGCAGCAGCAGCAACAGCAACAAGGTACAGAGCAAGAAATTAGGGAGAAGTTCACCGTTGGATCGCGCTGCGTGGTAGGCGAGAGGGTGGCGTTGTTTCCTAGAGCGGAGCTTCTGAAGGGACAGGATGCACACAAGGAGACACTGGAGTTGCTCTTCCTTGGCTATTCGCTTCATGCGTTGGATGTTTTCGCTGCCGCTTTCTTGAGCTCGTTCGTTTTATCCGTTCAGCTGATCGGAGATCGCCGCGGTCAAATCGCCTATGTTGGGCGCAGGCAATCGCGTCCACCGGGGGAAATCTGGATCGGTGAGTTGTGAATGCAGGGGAGCCGTTTTTTTTGGATGGGGAATCTTTGGATGCGACGCTTGCGTCATGTGCACCGCGAACAGTCGGAGTGGGGTAGAGGGGAGGACAGAAAGGAAGGGGTCGAGGCGTTTCTGGCACGCGCGCGTGCCAGCAGTTCGGCGTTCTTACGCGAAAGCCTCGCGGAAATCCTCGCTTCCGAAGAAGAACGCAGGAGGCAGGCTGCACGCTGAGGGGCTATCGGGCTTTTTCAGTGGCGACAGCTTCAAGTTTTTGTTCGATTTCTGCAGGTGTCGCGTTGGATGAGCCTCTGGGACGCACTGACGGCCGTGACTTCAAGATCGTTAGTGCAGCTGTGCCTGCTGCTGCAGCAGGAGCTGCAGAAGCGGCAGGCACAGGGGCAGGAGGAAGGGGTTGTCTGGTGCATACTGGCAAGCCTCTCTTTGCGTGTGAAGGCGACCGGTATGGCGAGTTTGCGTTGCCTTCAGAAGTGACTGTTGGGAACTTTCCTCCACTCGACCCCTTTGACTTGGTGGACGAAATTTAGAGGGCAGGCGTTTGGTTTCTGCGCGGCGAGCTCTAGCGGAGGTTTCGCTGCTGCCTCTAGAGGGAAGCCGGGATCCCGGCGGGAACGCGCGTGCAGCGAAACGCGAAGAAAGCAGACAATCCACAGAAAAATGGACCCCCCCTTTTAAGGCTGACCAAAACCACTTTCCTAGCACACAGGGCGACGGCGTGTATCGACAGAGAACAAGAGGCACGCAGGGGAGAGGAGGGAAGTTGCGACACACTCGGGGAAATAAAAGAGGGAGGGGGAAAGGTCAGGTGGTCTTTTTCAGTGGAAAACACAGACAGATTGTCGTTGGGCAGAGCACTTGCGTGCCATCCCATGGCTGACATACTTTTAAGCGCGCAGCCTCGCGCGCAGCCTCCTCTAGAGGGCTCAATGAGGCTGCACCGGGGGAAAATGTGCCTTGCGGTGGGGAACCCAGAGGATTGCACACTATGGGGGGAAGCAGAAGCGACGCTGGAGCAGCACGGTGTTTCGAAGCTGCAGGGCAGTAGGCTCAATGAATTTCAAGTGCGTCACCCTATGTATGCAGTCGGACACGTCGGCCGGCAAAAAGCCGCGTTCTTTGCTTACACAAAAACTCCCGCTATTCGGAGTTCTCAGCGCTGCATTCAGATCATCCCTTCCCTGCACGGACGGAGCCAATAAAAGGCCCCTCTATGGAGACTCTGTGGTAGCCGAAGCACTACTGAAAGCTCTTAAGGGGCCTTCCAACAGAGCAGCCTCCTCCCGTCTTTGGCCAAGGGTGCTCCTGCAGGGAAAAGAGGACGAGCTAGGGCTGAGCTGCACGCGCTGTGCTGCATGCTGCATGCATTCCCATTGCTAGCTCACAGCTCCTTGCACGTAGCACCAACCTACGTAGCGCACAGCCAGTCGGCCAACACTGATTCTCGCCGTTTTGAGGTATCTCTGCTCTGCGAAGGAACAGTATGGGGGAGCAGCCGAGCCAAGTAGTGTGGATTATCCCCTCATGTTTAGTCGAATACCACTGTTTCAGTTGAGAGGGCCCAAGCGGAGCTCAGCCTGGCACATTGCTGGAAAGTCTAAATCTGGAGCTCAACATGCCCGCGGAGGCCTGCTAAAGGCGTACTCCCTGGGAGATCAAGGCCTCACTGTGCCTACGTTTAGGGTTTGTAACGTCTAGGTGGGCTATCTGCATGCGTTATATGTCGCCTTTCAAACCGCCGCCACCAGTACGCAGTGCACCGCGGCGTGCGGAGGTCGACACATGTAAAGCAAGGAGAACCCTTTCCTTGAATGAACTCAACTGCGCTGGCTCGGCTGCCGAACAGAGCTTGAGCTGCCTTTGGCAATGGTGAGTCTACCATTCGCAGCGCCGAGCAGCAACCAGGAAGACGGATTGCTCTAGGTAAGCTCACACGCCACGGAATGAGAAATACGTGTCCCAAATAAATCTGGTAGCCAAAAAAACTGAGCTGATCATGCAAAAATGTTGTGCTACCATCATCAGGGTCTATTGTTCCGCTAAATGCTAGATCAACAGCCAAGAAGGCCACAGGAAGACTTGCCACACGCGAATATTCGCGCCAAGGCGACAGAGATCTACGCAACACTTGTGGACAGTGTAGAGCCGTAGTGCCAGATTCGGTCTTTTAATGATATTAAAATCAAGAATCTTCATGGGTAAAAGTTGTGTGCTGTCACTGGCCCGAGTGGACTGCCAGCGCCTGCCGAGCTTCAACGCACCGCCCGGTAGAAGACCTTCGTTCGTTTCAGTGCAATTGTGAGACGAGAAACATCATGCATTTTGGAAGCGCACAGCAATTACTGTGGAAGAAATAATGAACTTCACCCATCTAGTGCACACTTGAAGACACTGAGCTCTGGTTCATTTTCAGTATGCCGAAAGCTGCGCTCCTGGGGAACAACGCGCGGCCAGGCGTAAGCGGTATGTGCTTCAGTGCCCTTGCATGGTGCTATATGGCGTAGATCTTTCTTAAACACCCTAATCGCTTCGTGTCTTGGCTCGATGGGAGCCCTCATGAGACACAACAGCCCTCTCCTTATTCGCCGTTCCCAATGCATGGGGGTGGGCCGTTTTGGGGCTGTTCGCGGGCATCCTTGCGGAAGGGGCAATGTCGCTGCATATGACGCCTAGCGGATGCGCGATTATTGCTAGTTGAAAACTACTCCAATTCCCGTTCGCCGACCCTCACGGGAAGGCGGCAATTTCTGGGGCCTTTCGGGGCTAACGATTTGTGGTGTTCGTTTTTTCCGACGTGGGAGGCTGTCGCTGATGAGCGATTCGATGTCGGCCATAGCGAGCGGCTTCGCGTTGCGGTTCTGCTCTACGGTCGCTAGATTATTGTCGTTCAGTGGCGAACTACGCACTTAGTCGAGCCTAGAACTTGCTGAACAGTGCGTGCTGTGGCTCGTGATGCTGCCTATTTCTACCTGCGGGCTGAGAGGCACGGGGAGGGGAGCCGAGTGAATTATTCTGCTGAGTGACGGGGGCAAGCTGCTCCCGGCCTTTCTTAGCTCTGTCTAGTTGTTTTTCGCGCGGCTATTCATTTGTTGAGTGGTAGAGGTGCACTGAAGAATAGAGGCTAACGCTCCGAATACACCCCTACGCCTGCTTGGTGGCCCTTTTGAGGGATGATGCAGTATAAGCCTACTTTTCCAGGCAGTTCCCAGATGCAAACAAGGCGCACAGAGTTAAAACCCTGGAGGGATGGGCGGAAGGTGTATATTGCTGCTTCCTTCTCCTTCCGAGGGGTATCCTCTGGCCTCTCCCTCGGTTCTTTATAGAGTAAACAGGACGATTTGTGCCACATGTCTCTAAAGTATGTGGCGACGGCCCCCGCCTTCTACACGTTGTGTAAAAAAGACGCTGTTTCTATTTTCGTGTGGGTGGCTGGACCTCTTGTGAAAGGCGTGCTTGGAAGACGGCCTCTCTTTGTGCCATTTATTGGCGCGCACGCGCGCTCTTAAATGCATGCAGGACGTGGGAATATATATAGGGAAGGCAGCCGCTTCTTCCTCTCTCCCCTCCCCCTCCTTTAGTGTGCAGAGGGAAAAGCGCAAGCAAACAGCGTCATCTTACTGGAGATGCGCCAGGTTGCTCAAAGCCTCCGTACATACCAGTTCCAGCAGGCGCTGTCTCGCCTGGGGTTTTAAGTGCTGCAGAAGCACAGCAATGTCGTGGTGTCGTTGCTGCAGCTCGGTGACTTCATGCGATGGCACCGTAAGGTCGATGCTTTGCTGCCGTGATGAAAGCCTCTGGAATTGCTGTTCATAGGCTGGGTGCTGAGAGGAGTGCTGCTGCTGCTGCTGCAACGCCCCTACAATTTCCGCAAGCCAAAGCCTCTCAGTGTCGCCTACGTGGCTACGACGCTGCTGCTGCTGCTGCTGTTGCTGTTCCCGCGATGACTCGCGTCTTTGTTGTGTGCTTACCTTTCCATAGCGCAGCTGCTGCTGCTGCAACTGCATCGTCTGCTGCTGCTGCTGCAACTGCATCGTCTGCTGCTGCTGCCCGTCTTGCTGCTGCTGCCGCGATTGCTCGCGTGAGCGCAGTTCGTGGTATTGCATTTTCTGCCTCGGCTGCACTTCCTCGCAGTGCTGCAGCCACTGCTTGAGAAGCTGCTGCTTCTGACTTTCCGACTCCTGCTGTTTGGGATGCTGCTCTTGACGCCCTCTAAGCTGCGCCTGGCTTGGTTTCGGACCTTGTTCCTCTGCAAGGCGCTTGCGCTGCTGCCCTGCAGAGCACTGCCGCGAATGCGCCTTACGCAGCTGCAGTTGCAGCTGCTGCTGCAGCTGCTGCAGTTGCTGCTGCTGTTGCTGTTGCTGCTGCTGTTGCTGCTGCTGCTGCTGCTGCAGTTGCTGCAGTTGCTCCGCCCCCGCCACACAACAGGGGTGCTCGGCGAGTGGAGCACCCGCTGCCAGGGAGGCTGCCCCTGCGTGCTCTCGGAAGCTCTCAGACGCATGCATGGACCGTTCGACTGCTTGCTCGACTTCCTGTCTGTCTTGCTGGATATCGACTTCCGAGGAGCCGTGGTGTGTCTGGTCCGCGAGCGGCGTTGTCGTTTCGTCCGCACTCTGCCCTGCGAAGGTAATACAGCCCGCCGTTCCAAAGTCTAAGGCAGCCACTTCGACGACTTGCCAGGAAGCGTGGTGCGCGGCTTTTTTTGCCTCTCGTTCGCCTGCTTCTGCCGGTGCTGGTCGCTCGCAAACGTCGCTCTTGCCGCCCGCGAATAAGGCCTCTTCCAGCCCTGTAGACGCGATGGTTCCAAAGTCGCGCAAATGCCGCAGCTGCCTGGGAGTCGTTCGCGGAAAGCCGAATCCAGCATTTCCAGAAAGCAGCTCGCCAGCAACAGCGGACGCGTGCGACTGCTGCTGTAGTTGCTGCTCTGCTGCGCATTCGCGCTGTCGCGTGTTTCTCCTCTTGGCTAGTCCACCCCTTTTGCTGCTCGGCAGCTGCTGCAGAGGCACCGAGGAGGCACTCCCTGCCGCCTCAGCCTCTGCACACGCAGCTGAGGCACCGCTCTCCCTTCCCCTCGAGGCAGTGGAAGCCGCGGCAGCGGCTGCAGCCGCTGCAGCCTCTGCAGCCGCTGCAGCCTCTTCCTCCTTCTTCTTGCCCTTCATCTTGAGCTTCCACAGGTAGTAGACCTTCTTGAAGTCGGCGTCTCCACATTCTTCCGGGTGAAACTGGAAGGCTAGCCGCTTCGCCTCGCTGTATCCCAAGCTCTTCGCGTTGTACGTTCGCTGTTTAACAGGCCGGTGCCGGCTAGGGCTTCGCAGCCAGGAGAAGAAGGTGTGCAGATCTGTGCGGTACCACACCTTCCGTCTGTAAGACGCGTCGATGACTTCGTCTGCCCACAGCACGCGCTGGTACCCGCCCCCCCCCGCCGTCGCAGCGGCACAGGCAGCAGCAGCAGCAAGCTCTGGAGCTTGCTGCTGCTGCTGCGCCGCTGGCTCGTTCGGAGCAGCGGCTTCCGTCTTCTCTGCTCCCGAGCAGACAACTTCGCAGTAGCTGCCGCTCGAGCCGTAAGTCATGATCTTCAGGGGGCGACTGGGGAGTCCAACGTACGCCTGCAGTGTATGAACATCAGCGTACTGAGGGCCCAGGGGGCACCCCTGCTGACCAGGCAAGAATCCTGCAACGTCACAGTAGCAAAGGGCTTCGTATTGGGGGGAGGGGGGGGGAGCTGCCTCGTCGGGAGCGCTCTCGGGAGGCGCCCTGCCGCCTCCAGGCTGGGGAGCGCCGCTCGCCGACACTGCAGAGCCTTCGGCGGGAGAAAGCGGAGGCAGGATGCAACAAGACTCCGTCTCGGAAGGCAGAGAGAGACTCGGAGAGGCCGCTTGGAAGGGGGGAGGCGCAGCGGAGGCTTCGTCCGGTGTGCCCTCTTGGCCCCCTTCTGCTGATCGCTGCTCTCCCGCTTCTGAACGACTCGAGGGAGAAACTCCGCATGCAGCCTCTGGCGTGCCTGCCTGACCAGTAGGTGTTGCAGGCTGCTGCGTGCTGCAAAGGGAGTCCGCGCGGCTCTCCGCTCGCGTCACACCTGCGCACACGCACGCCGTCGAAAAAACGCGCCGCCTCCAGAAGAAGACAGTCTGACATTCGTGCATGCATGGAGGTCATGTAGCATGCTGCATGCTACATGCTACATGCTGCATGCTACATGCTGCATGCTACATGTAGCATGTAGCATGCACGATAAAAATACGGAAGAGGGTCGGCAAACGGGGCGTTCGTGCATGCACGCATGCATGCACGCATGCATGCGTGCATGCGAGGCCTTACATAGAGGCAGCCTCGGTCGGTGCTCGTGCTGCAAACTGATGCTGCTGCTCCTGCTGCTTGCAGTGCTGCTTCGCCTGCGTTTCTGCAAGGGCTGCATCAGTTCGAGATCGGCTGCCTCGCAAATAGGCCTCTCCCGTCCCTGCGCGTGCAGTTCTGCAAGCATCGCCAAGTTGCACATCGCTGGCTCCTCCATGCGCAGTGCTCCCACAGCCCTCGCCTCCTTTCCCTTCGCCCGAGCAAAGGCTGCAGCAGAGGATCCACTGAATTCGGCGGCAGTTGCCGTGCGCATGCTCGAGTCTGCACGGAAAAGCAGAGAGAACCTCTCGCCGCCTACGCAAGGAGCCGCAACTGCGGGCAGCACGGAGCCTTTCCGAGACACAAACGCATCTAGACACGTAAACGGAATAAATTACATGGAAATTAAAGAAAATAAAGACGTGTTTTTATCTCATGCGGCCCCGCTGTAGTGCTCCGACTCCGCAGCCGACGGCAGCGGCGTTGCTGCTACCCTCTGGCTCCCCGGCGTGAGTGCTCGTAAGGTGAAGTTGGACAGCGTGTGGCAATACGACTCCATAAGAAGGTAGAAGAAAGCAGATGAGAGGGAGAAACCGTGGAAAAGCGAAGGAAAGCGATAAGCGCCTCTTCGCAGCCAGCGGCAGTGGGGGGAACGTTTAGACCTTTCTGCACGCTGTGTCGGACGAGTTTTACCGCTATAATCGCGTTCGCTTTAACGTACTTCAAAATCCACAGGGTGGAAAGACCTTGATCAACAAGGGTTTCAATAGGAAACGCGAATATGTGAGACTCTGCTGCAGTTCACAGTCCAGTAAAGACGAGTGGGAGGGACGCGGCCTACTAGGCCGGTGTCAGAGGAATGGATGCAGTTTTCAGAGACTAGAAAGGAGACAATATTCAAAGAGAGGAAAAGGAAAGGTCCTCATGCATGTACATGTAAAGGCAAGAGGAAAGCCGGCGATCCCTTGCGAGCGCGGTATGGCAGCAGCTGGGCATACACTACAACAAAGGCAGCAAGGCACTTACAACCCCAGTGTTCCCACATTCAAAGTGCACGTAAAAGTATAACCTATCATAGAATCCACAAAAATATGCTAGACAGGCGCTAAACAGGGACTCTCCATGGTCGTCTTCTATGCCAACGGCGGAGGTTCCCTGTGCCCTATGGTCCGGCAGCCGCAAGACGCGGCACTGCGGAGTGCCGATCCTCCAAAGTTGTGTTTACCGGGGAGAAAACCTTGTAACCACACTCAACCTGTGTTTAAATGAAAGGTATGCATGTCTCGGCTGGCCAGCTGCTCTACTTAGTCATAACAGCCTACTATCTCCCGATGTCGGCAGCATATCAACCACCCTCCTGCCTGCTAGGCGCCCATACAGTCTTGGGGTCTCTTAAAGGGATTGGCAGAAACTACGTCTGTTTCATTTCCCTCTTCATGAAACAGGAAGCAGTGTACCAGGGGGAACTCTCACCGCTTCCACCAGAGACGGAATCGCACCGAATCCATCTGCGCCTCTACGCCTACTTGGCCGAGTTGTGCTAAATTAGGCAGTACTTCAATTCCAGAGGTGTGTACTGGCATCCTCAAATGTCATCCGTCTAAAAAGAGCGTGCTTGTGGGCTGCCTTGGGAATATGCGGTATACTGAACACTTACGTTATGGCAGAGCGCCACGATTGTTGCAAACTAGGCTACAGTTGGGCGCTTTCTGCTAAACTTGGAATATTTACTTACGAATTGGAAAAGACCTGACGTTTTGACATGGTTTCTAGTGTATCTTATTGCTTGCAGAGTAGAACTCGTTCATCCACTCCATCCGATTAGAACGAATACTGTGTGCTGGTGCGCTCGATGCTCTGCCCAACTGATCGCGAACGCTCGAAGTGCTAGCGCGTACAGCACACGCACCCTACCTGTGTCTGTTCCCTCATGTCGGAATCCTGAAAGCTGGGGGCAGAGAGATGGGAGGATATCTTCTGAAACAACACCGAATAACCTATGAAATTCGTCTGGATGCAACGCTCCAACAAAACTTTTCGCGGGGAAACACTTAAACCCAGACTTAAGCCAACCTTAATAAAAGCCAATTCAATGTTGTCCCAGCGGCACATCGCCCTTTCTTGCTCTCGCCCCTCGGAGCTGCGACATCAGAGGAGAAAGCCCGCTAGGGTGCAATCTCCTGCATTGTCACATTGCAGTCAAGATGTCCTTCAAGAAACGCATAGCCCATGCTGAATCCAAACCAGATAAAAACTTATTAGGTGTTTTCCTTAAGCTCCCTTCTTCCCTCACCCGCGCCCCTTCGATTTCCTGAAATAGGGAGAGAGGGAAAGCCAAGGTGCGTATAGCTGTACCATCTGAAGACTCCGACCATCCGTACTAGTTGCGGAAAGTACTTAGCGCACACGCACGCAGCATTCTTATGATATTGACGTAACACTACTTCGCGAACAATACCATATAAGATCAGATTAACCACTCATAGTCACTTTTCCCTAATGCTTATCTAATCTTGAGCACTCTTGAGCGCAGTAGTCTGATGTAGCAAAGCCCGTTATATCTTCCCACAGTTCAACGACAATCCGTCATGCCCCGCGACTGTACGCCAAGACCAGGAACGTGCGGGATAGCGATGAGTTCGCGCCCTCCTGCCACTCCTATGCAAGCCGAATCGCGAAAAGCAATGCAAGTGAGAAAAGCAAATGTATGCGTCAACCACTAAAGTGAAATCAAACGGAAGAGAGGCAAAGAAATCGGCCAACAACGAACGAAGGAGCCAACCAACATGGCTACCGCGGCGCTATGGCTCGCAGTCGTAGGACCTCTAAAATGCTTAGGCCTTCTGCCGAGAAAACAGAAGACAAGCAAGCTGTGTAAAGGGAAGCGAAAAGAGACTGGTTCAGCAGCGGCTCCGCGTCTCGTGATTCAATCTGTGTATGCAAATACTGCCGACATATGCAGCATCTTTGAATTCAAAAGCCCCAGAAGGGGCCTACGGAACAATGGTGGGACAGCACACCGGAGCAGCGCTCAAAACAAATCCTCAAAAGAAATTCCGGTAATAAGATGCAAGCTCCTAGAGCTTTGAAAGGCTCAGAGAGTGCGCAAAGGTGAAGGCCATGCCCTGATTGCTTCAATTTTTGCTGACTCCGCCACGTTTTCTGCCGCAAAAACACGGAATCTCAGAAACGGAGTATCCACTCAACTGCCGCAGCCTTGCAAGTCTTTGCGTTGCGCTTCTCGTCAGTGAACTTAAGTCTTGCGCACTGCACTACCGAGTGAACAGGAGGGTTGCACTTCTGCGTCGTCTCCTCAGTCAAGATAGGCACTTCTCGTTTAGTGTCAAGTAACGATAGTAGTTCTTGACACTTTGTGAGAACATGCAAGGGCGCAAAATTAATCTGTTGTATCTCCTCAGCTACAGCTCAATCCTCTGTAGCACCCCTCACGGCACACAGCCTGAATGGAGGCTTTGTGTTTCCCCTGTGCTCCTTAGCTTGCAAAGTACCATACCTCCGGTATCTTCAGCCCTGCTCAAGGTTTTTGGTGTTTAGCATGCGCTTGCAGCTACTGGTCTTATGGCTCACTCTTCCATAATAGAAGCATGTAAGTTTTCGATGGGCTTTCTGGGGCTGCTTCGAAGCGCGGTCTCCCTCTGGGTTTATTTTTTTGCTCACCTAGAACTGTAGGCCGTGAAAGGTTGCCACAGCTTCGACACGCACTGGCGAATTCGCCTTTTCTATTCAGCCAAAGATGCAAACGCTGTGTTTATTGCTCTTGAAGCCTCAAGTAGCCCATCTTGTGCGGAACCCACACAGATCCGTTATTTGCTTGCTGGCTCGCTGCCCACCTTGCGACCCCTTGAAGTCGCACTTCAACCAGACCTTGGAACATATCACTGAGAAAGCGGCTGCTCGTCTACGTTGTGGCTTTTGCAAGCCAGATGTGCTTACCTCGATCTTTCGATGTGTTGGTTGTTTGCGCTTGCTTAGCCTGCTCAGTTCTCCGAAAGCATGACTTGAGGAGTCGTGGATTGTATAATTGCGGAGTTGTAGCATTCCCTGCAGGCAGATGGCTTCCACTACATGAGTACAGCCACAATTCAAGTCGTTGCCTCCTGCCCCCCACCCCAGCGAATGAACAGGCTGCAAAGAGCATTGTTTTTTTTCTTTATCTAAGGGGTACGAAGCTAGGTACATTTCAAGCTAGCTGATAAATTCTTTGGTTTTTCACCCATCTATACAGCCAGCATACTTAGCAGATCTGCAGACCCTCATGAATGCAGCCACAAACATTTTATATGTTGAAGAATCACTCCTGTCGTCCAGGAGAGGATCTTTTGCGTTCACCTTAGCCTGCAAGATTTCACTGTACCTTCCCAAGCGGCGCTGTGCCACCTTCAACTTCAATAACCAGAGGGTGATTTCTCCGGATTATTGCTACGAAAATCATAATACTGAGTTACCCAATAACTTTAACTAAACCAGACACTGGCTAGAGGGAAACTGACACCCCACTGCATCCACAGCCAGTGAATGAGCAGATCTGGCGGCAGCAAAGCACAGATACTACGGAGTGTAACGCATTACCTAAGGTTCTTGTAATGAGGTAAATATTCCAGACACAAAGCAAACTTAATGGAAAGCTACCGATCGTTCTTACAAAAGAGCTCCCACCTATGCTTGCTCCTGAACCCCTAGAGTTTCACAAACGAGAAGAGAAGAACATCTGGGTGCGCGTAACTGAGGCCTTTAAGTACTTCGAGCATTCATAAGTAGTTGCAGATAACATCTGGCGCATATGCACACAGCATTGCGTCTTCTTTTGTCGAGCTAGTGTTACTCAGCAATACTAGGATCTAAGGGGCCACACCACTGATTTGATCACTACTAGCTTCTTGTTAGATTTAAGTAGTGCAGTGTAAAGTGCTTTAGTGTAGGTTAGCCCGCCACACCGTTGATTATCGCAAGTCGTTGTAGCACGTTTAAAAGTCCTGAAAATCGACCAAAGGATATGCTCTGCGCGTACTTCATAAGGGTTCTTGTAGTCTAAATCTATGTATTAATTGATTGGAGGTTCTTGTAGCTTGCTGTGAGGCATTCAATTTGATAACGAATGTGCAGGGCGCCTGCGCCGCGTCGAGCATTTTTTGGTAGGAGATACTGCTGCAGCAACCAGTAGCTAGATCCTCCCCCTTAAAGTCTTGAATCTTTGCTTTTTTGTTGATGGCGCACGATAACATAGCGGTTTATTGTGCGTGACATCAAATGGTACGGGGCTGCGACGAGTTGCATTTGCAGCATGGCGTCGGCAGCAGCGCAGTCCCAGCACTGAAACGATATCCCTGAGTACCAGTCTGAACACACAATTCATTCATATTTATGTGTTTTATCTGATCACAAGCTAGTGGAATGGAGAGAGGACTGTGGACCTTCTGAATGTGATTGTGGGCATCTTGCGAGCCTAAACAGCCGGCGCCCCTGCGTCCATGGGAGGCTCTTGTGAACTGGAGCTTGCACACGATCGCTCTTCCCCTTATGCATTGTAGGAACGGGATTCCGTGTTACTCTTCGTATGAATGCTTAGAATTTTCCCTTCGGCTGCAGTAGGGGTCTCAATTTGCGCTGTCAGCCATCGGCAGCTGTCGCCTTGCGCGGGTGCCGTATAGCAGGCATTTTCTTTTGCATGGTCTCGGTCTCTTGGCTGCATCTGTACCAGCACCTTGGAGCCTGAGACGCTTTTTTAAATCTCACACCTCCGCTTGGTTCTCAGATCGGTCTCGGTTTCTTCAGTTTTACCGTCCAAAGCCAATGACTGAGGGACTGAGCTCAACTGCAGACAGGCGGCGCCCCCTTTGGGGATGCCTGAAATTCACCATGATGGCACTGGGATTTTTCTCAATAATCCTCAACGCTGTTCTGCTTAGTCAGTACCTCTTCTCATCCGAGCGGTTTTCCTCTACAGAAGAGGCGAAGTTCGTTTCTTCCCTAGAAGAGAAGCAAGCTTCTTTTTCCCATCAAGCCCAACCAAAGCATGGTAATAACACTTTGATGATGCACGGACCTCTTGGCTTCAAGCCAGACGGGAACCCGGCACATGTGCCAGCGCCCGCGCCTCCATCCGTACGCCCTGACACCCTGAAATCGAAATCGAACAAACTGCGCTTTGCTATCCAATGCGGAGGCCCCTGTGCTCCTCCTGATTGCACCATGACTTTGTGTGTGTGTGCTTGTGTTGGAACATTATTTCATTTAGCTTGAGCTCGCAGTGTCACTCCCCCTTTTTGAATATTGCAAAAAGGATGTATACAGAGGTAGCGCAACTCTGTGCGGCGTGACCACAGGACTTGAACATGTCACTGGAACTAGCGCGAGGAGGCGGGTTTAACTTGAAGCTGAGCGACCATCTGCCTCTCGACCGCGACATCCCTGATTCTCGCCAGCCTGCGTGCATGTCAATTACTTACGACATATCGACTCTCCCCGCAGCTTCTGTGCTCATGGTCTTCTACAACGAGCCCTTCTCAACCCTGATGCGGTCAGTGCACAGCGTACTAAATCGCACACATCCCTCCTTGCTTCAGGAAATTGTCTTGCTAGACGACGGTAGCGACTTGGCCGATGTTGCTGCCAACGGAAATGGAAAACTGGAGAACTATGTTAAGCTGTTGCCCAAAGTGCGGCTCGTGAGGAGCCCAAAAAGAGAAGGGATTGTGGGTGCACGCATGCGTGCAATAAGGGCAAGCCAAGCGGATATATTTGTCGTACTGGACAGCCACATCGAGGTGCAGAACCAGTGGCTAGAGCCACTTGTTTCTCGGATCAGGGAGGACCCTCGCCGCATCGTAATGCCGCAAGTGGACGGTATTGACGCGGAGAACTTTCGCCATATTGCAGGTGGCATCGGGTGCAAGTTGGGTTTCCTTTGGCAGCTGATGGAGCATTCTTATGAATTCCATCAAATGGCACGGCTTCCCCCCGAGCAGCAGAACTCGCAGGCTACTGATTTCCAGACCTCTCCGACCATGGCTGGGGGCCTGTTCGCGGCTGATAAGAAGTTTTTTTTCTCCATTGGGGCGTATGACGAAGGCTTTCGGTACTGGGGAACAGAAAACCTCGAGTTCAGCTTCAGGCTTTGGCAGTGTGGCGGCATTCTCGAGTGCGCGCCATGTAGCCGTGTATACCATATTTTTAGAAAAGGAGGCTCTGGATACAGCTTTCCGTCAGACGCACTGATTGCGAATAAAATGCGTACGCTGATGTGGATGGACGAATATGCCGACTTGGCGTGGCGCGTGCTAGGAAAACCAGCGGTCGATTATGGCGAAGAGTCCCTCAAGAAAAGGCGGGAATGGAGGGCACAGAAGCAATGCAAAAGCTTCAAATGGTACATGGAAAACGTGTTCTCTGAAGCTGATGTAGTACATCTAACGGACGTTCCATTCCTTGGTAAGCGGAATTGGGGATTTGGGGATTTCAGCATTCGCTAGTTGCCGAGGATGAGAAAAGTTCGGAAGCTGAAACGCATCTCGGCTCTTCGCAGGGAGAACTGAGGAAAGCGAACATCTATGTTGCTGACGACGACAAAGTTTTCGAGCATCTCTTCAAATTTGAGAATTTCCTTCAAAACGTTATGCGGTTCTAGTACTTCCGGCTCATTGGGGTTCATGCTCACTACGGTGCATGTCATGAACCCTATACGTGTTTCAAAAGGCTTCCAACAGCGGTGCCTCTGGGTGTTATATTAATCAGGGCGCCTGAAGCACAACGCCACTGGATTGTGCCTTGACGCTGGTGGTCAGTCCTTCCCTGGTGGCCACCCTGCTTTGGTTCGTTGTGAGGAATCTCACCCTAGTCAAGACTTTATGTATTTTAGGTAAGCGCTTTTCCTCAAAGGAAGTGATCGGCAATGCTTGCTGTCCCTGTCCATAGCCCCATGATGCATGACCAGCATGCGTCTAGGAGTGCGAGCGAAATACGCGGGCTGTTCGTGGTTATGCTTCGGAATCATGATTGAAATATGCGTATCATGAATGCGCTTTTTGTATGTGTGCTCGGCGAATGCGCTGGACTGCAGGAAAATCGGTCACGTGATGCCAGTGCGCAATGATGAAGCGTGCTTGACTCCCAAGGGAAATTTTGACTGGTGTCGAGCTACGGATGTTATGTGGTACTTCAATTTAAACGTCTTTGTTGTTCATGTGTTCCGTCGTGGGGGCTGTTCAAATTGCCAGAAACTCCAGTCTTGCTTCATTCCCATGTAATCTTATTTCTTACGGCTTCAACGTGAATGAAATTTTCTGTAATTTGATCCATCATTCACTATATTTCATCTGTGCATGCACATATTTCGGATGTGGTGGCATCTTATTTGCTGAAGGTGGGATTTCGAAGGCGGAATGTTGCAGAACAGATCCGCTGGGGAATGTCTGACTGTCGTCCGCTCGAAGCTCACACTGGTTCAGTGTGATCCGACAACAGCTCTGCAAGTGCGCACGCCAACAGACATCCCCTGGCGATAGAATAACTTGAATGTCATGTACACGCTTTCGCCTGCAGAAGTGGGATAACACATGCGTGTGAAGGGGGGAACAGTAAAAATTGACTGTGGGATTATAGAGAACGGACTCGCATGCACGGTGTTTGGCTTCTCTTGCAGCAATGGACTTGGGAAGAATACAATCCTCCAGACACTTTCCACTTTCCTCCTCCCCGAGCTCGCAAGCAGCGCATCCCATAAATACGGCGATCAAAGCTGCTTGGCATGTCCTGCACTAAGGCATGTACAGGCTGCCGAAGAGCTCCCTCGTCTTCACTTTCTGATTGATGAGTAAGAACTATTTGTGGGTGTCTCAATGATTTTGATGTAAGGCTTAATACTGGTTGTTTTGAAGGGCTTTCAGAGGCATGCCCACATACTGTCCTGGGCAATCTGTTTCTAGTCCGGCGGTGCAGCAATCTCTGCACCAGGAAAATTTTTGAGTACTCGCCCGATTTTTAGGATTGGGAGGCCTTTAAGAAGAGGATCCAAGTAATTTTTTTAATACTATTTCTAACTGATGCATCTGGTATCGATATGCCCATCGCTGCTCGCCTGCAAATCGTGCTCCATTTTTTTGTCGCTATTCGGCCTAGGAACGTCAGCACCACAAAGGAATAAATAGAGCACCGCTGCATGACGTTCGATGACGATTTAGCCTGCTCTATTAGTATGCGTGTCGCTAGTATATGTTTCATGTGAATGTGCCTGTCTGTCTGGGAGCACGAATTGTTTTGTGCTCACTTTAGCTTCCCGAAATGCACTTGGTTGTGCATCCTTCTTTGCTATGAGCAGTTCTGGTGAGGTATTGTACCCGCTCATGCATGAGCTATGCTTGGTGTGGTTGAAACCGATAGATCCTTTAGTCCAAGAGCTCTCTAACAACTTGCAGTGCCCTGTTGAAGCACTACAAATCGCATGAACAGCATCATGCTCTCTGTTCATTGGGCAAAAAGTGCCTGTCCGATGCAAGCCGCACATTAGCTGTGCAGTAGTGGTGTTTTCGCTGAAACATGCGGATTTTGGACACTACTGGGCAACATTAGTGTTCTTGAGGGCTCTAGTGACATTGCTGTATGCCTACCGATGGGCAGGGCAAAGTGCAATATATGATTTCTCGTCCTAATAATATTTCGATCCAAAACAGGTCCAGGCAGTGCCAAATTCCAGTAAGCAGTTCACCCCCTTGCGGAACGTGCGAAGTGCCGGTGGAAGTTATTTTGCGCGTCGTACATCGCTCCATGCCTTTCATGCTAAGCAAATGGAAATGTGATGTTCTGCTCACTCTTCGAAAAGATAAAATCGCAATGGAGCACACGGAACAGGCTCAGGGCGAAAAGCAGTCAGTTAGATCGGATATTCACCTCACGCACAGCTTCACCAAAAGGGACATGCGGAGAACAATCAGATCAAAAGAATCAGTATGGAATCCATTGCCCCATAGCGTGCAGGGGAATCGCCGGCAGTCACAATCCAAGCCCATCGACTGCAGAGAGAAATCAAGAATAGTGAAGGTAGTTACTTTTCTTGTACATACCGTGGTCCCGCACAGCGAGATTGACAGGAATGGGCCGAGAGAAACTCAAGAAGGAGGCAATGCGTGCATTTTATTGAAAAGTTGTTCGAAGAAGCGACAATTCTAGAAGTCATGGCAGCGGCCACCGCATGGACGTTCAGAGAGTACGTCTATTGGTGTGAACCGCCTGCGTTTAATGCTAAAAGTAAAAGGCAAAGCATCTGAACCACATGCGCAAATGATGTTCCACTTCTAGGGATTCGAGAGGCCTGTGAGGGCAGGCTTCTGAATGGCGAGAATTTCAAAAAAGTTAATCTATCCAGTAGCTAGAAACGTATTCCAATATACACGTGACTATCTTTTGTGCATGAGGCAGAACGATTTACGCAATTGTTCATTATCGAAGGCATTCCTTCTCATGTAGCTGGCAGTTATGAGAAGCGCCACTGTAAAGACCTGCTATTCCGGTGGATGCTGGTCAAACAAATAGCGGACTAACTTTTGCTGCTTCTATGAGGTTACTAACATATGCTGCCCGCTGCAGAGTAGTTTAGTTAGCTTGAAACGACTACAATCAACCTTTATTCCCCCATGGGCGCAGCCTCTGCGTGCAATTAGCGATGAATGCTCAGCGTGCATCCAGTGGCAAGCACCGCGTACCTTGTAAGCAGTCTCCCTTCATGGCGATACCCTTCAAAGTAAAGACAGGGAGAAAGGATGCTTTCTAAATGAGACACTGAGTAACATTCCATTGGGTATTGCATTTGAGTTTGTGTCTAAGGGCCTCTTTATGGAGACTCTTGTTGGATATGAGAATTGGCCGCACTGAAGGGTGTAGTGCAGCTGTTCCCGTGCCCTCTCCTCGTTGCAGCTCCACTTTGACGCCATGTTCTCCACAGAAATATTTGTATCACAATCTCTTGAAAAATCGACACCTTGAAGCGTTTTGTGGTTTTGAAAGGATACACATCACGACAACGGATGTTGTAGCTCCCCAGCTAGGGGATCCCCAGTAAATTGACCCTCCAATCGAGTCTCTAGATCCCTTCTTTGCAGAAAAAGGTGCAATCTAAGCACTTGGACCAAACCAAACGAAGGGCCCTACACGCCTGTTGTCTATTAAAACCTTCAACTTCCTATCAAAACCGTGCAGATGCATGTTCGTCTGCATTACAAGCTAATTAGGATGTTGCCTTAGAGGAATGATTGTAGGGTAGGATATTACTCCGGACATTCTCGCATTTGCGCTCGATATGTAGCTTTAACATAGCTGCTGGCAGTACTTAAGTGCGAGCATAAACCAAAACACTTTCCCAGCTAGCTTTTTGAGGCTAAAGCGGCACTTTCGTTCACTGGGCCAATGGGAAAGTTGTAACCCCAAAGCCCTGTCTTGGCTTGCACGGAAAAAAAATCTTCGTCTGCCAAACAGCCTTTAAGCACCGAGTTCGCATAGTGTTGGCTGTTATCTTGCAGCATTTAATCTTATTTAGCAACGAATTCCTTGGCAGGGGTGCTGGGGTCTGACTTGCATGTGTGCAGCAATTGGCTAACTGAGTATGCCAGCAAAAAAAGAAAGCTAATACCCAAGCTGTCTACTTAATTTAATCACAATGACTGCCAATACCGATAAAACATTAACTCTCTGTTGCGATACACCTCGCGTGGCTACTTGGGGAGGCCCGCCTGCTAGTGATCATCATGTGGGTTTTGCCCAATTGGAGCGTGTTTATTGGAGGGTCAAGTAGCAAATCGTGGAGCCATTTTCATACCGAGCGTGAAGTCCACAGAAAGTTAATACTGTAGCGCAAGCCTGTATTCAAGTACTGACTCTTCGGATAACGCTGATCTCAGCTCACCAGCAAGAGTTGACAAAAAAGTGTAAGCAGTTAGTAGGCCAAAAAACCTTTATATCTCGACATCTGATTTTTCGGTTATTACAAGCCGCAGCATACACGAATAGTTGCTCAATCTAGGCCTTATCGCTGGTCTACCTAAGAGGTAGCTTTATTTGCTTACAGGTTGGATAACGGTTTATCGCTTTCAAAACTGGCCATCGGGGCCTTCTCATATGATATAATTTACGAGAGTTTATGAAAGAATTAGTTAAGCTTCTGGGTTGGCTGTTCGATTGAAGGAACCTAATCAGTATTTTGGACCTCAATCTAGGAACTCCTCCCAGTAACTATTACTAGGCAAGATTTCAGTCCTCAGGAGTCGTGAGAGAGCCCTGCCATGCAAGACTGCACTCCACGCAGCCGCCGTAGCTCTGCTCTAGCTAGCTACCCATTCTGCGAATCTTAGTGACTGTTTCAACAGATATGGGCCCCCGAAGACAACCGCTCCTGGAATTGCGCATGCCGACGAATCCTGGTGCTATTTGAAGCCTTCTCGACGACGTAGGGTAGCCAGAATTCCCAATGTCGGCTGAGTGTGTGCGTCAAGTTTCCCGACAATGTGAACACGTTGATCAACCTTCCAGGATCCCCTGCAAGCTACCTTTTTAGATAGAACGGGTACTTTATGTTGGATTAGAAATCAATGCGGACGCTCCACAAGGACGCCCCTGGAATTAGTCTATGTTCTCAAACTTTTATGCTCACCGGGCCGTCTGCAAGCATGCGCGCAAGTGAGGCCCGGTTACCAACAAACAGCGCATTCGTTACAAAAACACAATCCTTTGCTTCAAGAAATGGCCGACCCGATGCAAAATCAACAACTGGCGACTGCTTGATCAGCATTTGTAGTTTTAGGGTGTACTGGTCTATGCAAGCTAAGGTGGAACTTCGGGGTAAGAGCTTCCACACTGTCCAAGTGGACGCCAGTGCCACGTTGGCCACAAGCTTCTGATTCAAATTCAGACCTTGGTGGCTGCTCGCCTTTTGAGCCCCCTTCATAGTTAAGCTTAGAGCACTCTTTGAGAACATTTCTCACAACTTTTGTGGGCACTTGATATCTCCAGTGACTTCCGGTTTTTAGAATCATGCACTTAAGCTAATATTCAAGGTTTCTAGAGTGTCAGTGCTTAAGGTGCGCCTTCAGCTGGCAAATCCTTGAATGGAAGCGAAATGCTTTTCAGTTGATTACATGGGAAGCCTATTGGGGGTTTGATCTAGGTTTAATGTCCTTTAATCATTACTAAGCCCATCGCGTTGCCTAAAAGAGGTAAGAGGGGGGTGTCTCAGTTATCTCATTCTCCGCTGGTTGCAGCATCGAGCTGTCCTCACAGCATAAGAGCGCTTGGTCCACGCGTGTGCGCTGACTTTCTCTGTCTGTCTGCAAACGAGTGCCAGGATCGCTCCAAGAGAACAGTACCATCTACCACTCGCAACCATAACCTTCCTAGGTGGGAAACTCTTTGGGCTCAGGGAATGTAATGAAGCATTTTAGGAACGAGAAACGCGTGTCCTTTCATGTCTGAGGTTACCCTTGCAAAAGCCTTCGGAAAACGCGTTTTACAGAGGAGCTGGGAGCATGCTACGTGGGCCTAAAAGCCAATGTCTAGGATGACCTTTAGATGCACGCGAAACTCGCACGTTGCACCGTGCATTACCTGCAGGCACTAGACAAGCAAAGTAAAATGTTTCGCAGAGCCTGTGCTGTACGCATTCCCAATATAGTAATTTGGATTCAGCATTTTATTTAATAAGTTATGCTTGGTCTTTTTCTCTGTGCGCTTCTTAGCGGGCTGGCCTAGCAATTCTTATCGTCGTTTTACTCAGTAAAACGGGCACAGGCTTTGCAGTTTACATCTTGAGTCTGCACTAGCAATATGGCAAAGCCCCCAGTACCCCCAGGTTTGCGCAGTTGGAGGCATGCGATTCAAACAGATGATCCTATTTGAGCATAAATATTTGCCAGGGCCCGTGAAATACACCATTCAGGCCTGTTGTAATTGTACCCTGCGTCCGCGATGCCAATGCAGAGTATGCCTTAGTTCCTCGGCACTCTCGTCTCTCTGCATCCTAGCCAGCGGTATGCATATCGCATGAATTGTTCCAAAATTCTTGGTCATACAGCAGTAAATGCCGACCAGACTTTCTGGTGAACTATCTGAAAGTGTGGCTTCCAGTTCAAGTGGTGACTATGTAAATGCGTTCTTTTCCTTGAAATATTTGAGCCATGTAGCTTTCAGTTCTCCATTTTTTTATGGGTGTGCGCTGGTGCCCTGAGACGAATCCTGTGCTCTCGGCTGGTGTCACCCTGAGACCGCTTCGCAAGCACGAGACTGCTGCGCATGAAATTTAGCCTCTTTGGACAAAGTTCACACCGTTGGGAAAAAACCAGCTGTACACGGCAGGTTTCAGCGGTTGTACTTATTACACAGCTCAAAATCCCAACAAACTAGTGCGCCTACGCCCCATGGAGGAAGCGGCAAACGTCCGGCATTCCTCGCCAGCATGGCTCCTCAATGATAGTTTTCGCTCAAGATGAGCCCATCATGAGATTTCATGAAGGGAATTCACCCAATTATACAACAGAACCACAGAGCACTAATGTTTTGTACTCCACACGAAGATTTGTGAACAACAATGCGCAGGCCAACGAAACACACCGCAATAGAATGTGTGGCAAATGACAAAAGAGCATTTTTAATACAAGCTGGACAACAGGGAATTCACCACTCTATGTAAACGAAATGCACACGAATGTAACTGCCAGTTCAATCCTTGGCGTTCACTTGGGCTTGCTTCATATCCGAAGATCCATGACAGCAGTTTCTTTGTCCACTCCCACTCTCCTTCTCGACCTTGGACTTTCGTAGCCTCCTTACTTTGCCAGCTTTCTGCGCCCCTTCGGTAATATCACCGTCACTGCTACTGTCGCTTTCACTGCTACTCTCTGCAAACGCTCGGGGTTTGTGGTAGATGCAGCAAACTTTACTGCTTTTCCTTCCCAAGTTTTCGTTGTCCACCGTGCCCTCCTCAAAAGACACCTGTTTCTGCTGCTCAATGCTTGCATTTTGCTGCTCGGACGTTGCAGGAGGTGCCGCAGAGGATACTAGGTGAATCACTGCTTGTGTGACGGTTTCCGTCCTCGTCGTGCTTGCCATTTCCCGTGTATCTGATGAGGTCCACACCAGAATAGGCCGCACTCAACTGTAGAAGTTGTAGGCTTAAGTAAGAAGAAAGATTGCTGAGCGCTTTTGAGCACCACACGGTGACGCTTCCGAGCTTCTAACAGCGCTCAGAACCAAATGCCATATCCGTGCAAAAAGCGCAAATGGGTGTCCGCACACGCTGCGTCTGGGGAAAACAGGCCTTTATCTTCAAAGCAGAAGGCGCAAGTCTCAAGCGTTGAATATTTGATCCATGCATACGTTTGGTATTTCCCGAGGGCCGAATGCGGATCGTCACCAATTCGACGCGAAGCGCACGGGTCTCCAGGGAAGGCCACAAGGGATGAATACATAAAAACGATTATGAAAACGCAGATGGGTAGCAAGATGGACGAGGAAGAAGAATAAGAAGGAGAATTGCCAGTCGAGCCGTGTCTGAGATGCAGGCTCTACGCAGCGTCGCGCCGGTGCAGCTTCAACTGAGCAGAATTACCAAGGTTTCTCGCTCAGGAACTCACTCTTCCCAGAACATGCAAAGACAAGAAAGGAAAAAACTAGTTTTGGGTAGGCTGCTCGCAAAGCCCTAGAGTGAGGGGCACCATAGGCGACTGTGTGTAGCTAGGGGGGTTAATGAGAGGCCCCTGCTTGCGCGAGAACGAGGCGCAAAGCCATTGACCACATAGAATCGGAAATGTATATACTGCGCACTTGAGCGTTACCGCGAGAAATATCCGTATACACCGCATCCCCGCCGCTCCGGTTCCCTGGCGGTCCGCAGTTCTAAGCTCGAAGCTGCTGGCTTATACACATGCATGCGCAGTTTCTCCATTGAGGTGGGCGAAGGTGTTAAAGAGAAAGGACGCTAAGCAGTCCGTTAGTCGCTGGTGCCTTCCGCGAGAAGTAAGCCGCAGGCGCGACCAAGCTTTCGACCTCGAAGGAAATTCGAGATATTTTCCGTCTTTCTACTTCACGACCCTCTTGAACACGAAGGGATTCCCTATGTAACTCCCTGCATCCTGCTGAACGCGACGAAACAGTTTGCACTGCGGAGCCGACGCCGTATTTCCGCAGAGCACCCCGTGCAACATTGCCTAGTTGTTCTAGTGGCTGCAAAGGGTTTCTGCTCGATCCGTATGTACAAGGCCCCTCACGCAGGTGGGAGGCTGTGGTATCCTGACGTAAATGGCTACGGAGAACGGCCTCACGATGCGGAAGAGCGACGACCATGATGACAGGGGGTAAGATGCAGAGCCTTCCCATTCAAATTTCCTACGGTAGCTCTTCCATTCTGTGAAAAAGTGCGTGCTTCGCGTCATCGCGACCTCCGTATAAAGGCCGAATAGTTGGCGTTTTTTTCGCACCAGCTGTACAGGTTTGCGCAGCTTCTTTGCGTCTTCCTTGCTAGTCGAGGATTCCCCCACGCAGGCTTTGCGGGAAGCCTGCGTGGGGGAATCCTCGACTTGCAAGGAAGACGCAAAGAAGCTGCCCTGTTTGAATGTGCTGCTTGAAGGTTTTTGGAGAGTTCTGAGTGTGTGTGTGTGCTCTGTATGTGTTGCACAAGGGGCCCTATATAAGGCGCTAATGCCGACGAAGGGTGTGCGTGTTGTGTGTACGTGTGTCTGTGTGCGTGGCTTTTCGCGCGCAACAGGTTAGGCCTCCCGGAAGGCTGGCACTTCCCCGAAAAGGTCGCTGGCATGGGCTGTAGCAGGATGGTGCTCATGCAGTTGAGGGAGCGCAGAAGCTGCGTCGTGGGGACTGCGCATGAAGTTTCGTTTTCGCAGCCTTCGCTTGACGGGGAGAGCTCTGCAGTGTCGGAGGGAGAGCTTCTGCAGTCGCAGCTGGATATAGCGCTGCTGCCCGCGTCTGCGCCGCCTTCTGACGTGCCTGGTGCTCTCTTGCCTGCAGCAAGTAGCAGCACGGAGGCTGCGCAGGAAAGAGCGATTGGCGCAAATGCCACTTGCGTCGCCTATGCTGTGAAGCCTGGCGTCGTACGGGTTGTTCGCGTGCTGGATCAGCAGGCGCAGCAGAATGCCGCAGTTTGCCGGGTAAGCGATGGAGGAAAAAGATGTCTGTCTGTCTGTCTGCTGCTGCTCCTGTTCCTCTCCGGGCTGCTTCTAGCTTCCCGAAGGTGTACATACAGCTGGAGTTTTGCTTGGCTTATTTTCTAGAGGGCCCCCTAAGAGATCCCTGTAGATATTAGGCCAAGTAAAACGAGAACCTTGCCAGAATCATTGAGGCACTTCCCTTTCCACGCACCAAAAAGGGGCAGCTGTTGGCAGATGAATTCGCTCTCATCACACGACGCAGAGCATGCATGGAGGTGTCTACGGCTCGAGGGACTTGCCTCCCTCTGGTGGTGGTGGTGTGTGTGTATATATATATATGTGTGTGAATATATATATATATATATGTGTATATATGTATATATATATATGTATATATGTGCGTGTATGCACATTATTTTTTTCACTCACTCACTCACTCTCTGTCTTTGTTTGTTTGTCGCATGCGTCTGTTCGCTTTGAAGTTTCTTCTCCCCGATCCGCCAGCGGGAGTCGCAGGATCGCGTGTGGCAGAAGGCCTCGCGCTTGGTCAAGAAAAGCCGCAGTTTCTCCTGATAAGAGACTCTCACGGATTGGTTCTCATTTACAAGGGGAGGCTGGAGTCTCCTGCTCCTAAGCCTTCCGCGGATCGCTCTCCATCGGCAGATGCAGAGCGGGGGGGCAGCAGCTCGACAGGCATGCCGACTGCGGGGGGGGGAACAGACACCACTCCCCCGTTCGTACAGCTGCAGCTGCAGCTCGAGCATGGGCGTCTTCTGGACGCCTTCTGGCTGCCCTCGACTGCCACGCAGCGGAGAGCGGGTACAGGTGCTGCTGAAACTGCGGAGAGAGACAGGAGCGAGACTGCAGAAGGCGGGAGTGGATGCTTCTTTGTCACTGTGCAGCAACGCCGAGTGGCGGTGTGGTCTGTACCGCTGCTGAGGATCTTGGGAGTGACGCTGCGGCGTGATCCTCAGAAGGAGCCGCTTTTGGTGAGTGTGTAGTGTGTAGTGTGTACGTACTTTCACCGTTTTTTTTCAGCCTCGAAGCAGTCGCGGGCAAGCAGACACACAGGCAGACTTGTTCGCAGACTTGTTTGCAGACTTGTTTGCAGACTTGTTTGCAGAGTTGTTTGCAGAGTTGTTTGCAGAGTTGTTTGCAGACTTTTTTGCAGACTTGTTTGCAGACTTGTTCGCAGACTTTTTTGCAGACGTTTTTGCAGACTTGTTTGCAGGGAGCAGCAGTGGAGCCTCGCACGCATTGATTTTGGAAAGAAACTCCAGCCGCTTGTCGCCACTTTGGGGGGGGCGTAGTGCCACTGCTGCCGGCACACGAGGTGATGGCTGTGTTGCGACGCTTCTCTGCTGCAGGCAGAAGAAGCAGAAGCCGCGGATTGCTGCTGCTGTGTGCTGCCCTTGGAAGAGGCAGCCGCCGCAGCCGAAGGAGTGCTGCACGACCCTTTCAACGTGTGCACCCCCAGCGAGCTGCCGGAGGTGTATTCGGCGTGCTGCGCCTCAAGAGAAGGCTGCTTGCTGGTCGGGCTCAAGCGACGGGTTGTAGCAGCGTGGCAGCTGCAGGTGAGACGCACTCACCACACCACTGTTCGCCTAGAGTCGAGGAAGGGGCAGCCTTCGTCTTCCGGGAGTGCGAAGATGTGAACTGCAGCGCACGCCTGCCCAACAGAGGGAGCTGACTCGCACTTGCTCTCTTTGTTTTTCCTTGGGTAGAGATCGCTCCGTGAATGACGCCGCTCCTCCCTCCTGGCGCCGTTCTCCTCGACGCCTGTGCTGTGCTGCCGCCCTTGGAAGAGGCAGCCGCTGCAGCGAGTTTCTCTGCGATCTGCTGCTGTGTGGCTTGCCAGACGCAGCAGAACGGCATCAAGGCTGCGCAGCTCCTCGCCGCGGTGCGACTGCCTCCAGAGCCTTATGGAGCACTGCGTCTTCCTACCAGATCTGCTGCTGCTGCTGCTGCGGCAGAAGCCGAAGAGCATCTGCAGGCGTCTGCTCAAACGAACCCTTTTTTCTCGCCGCTTGGCACGCGCGATCCCACGAGCATCGTGCTGCGACGCCAGCAGCAGCAGCATCAGCAGCAGCGGAAACAGCACCTCGACGAGGCGAGCAGTCCCTTCCAGCTCTTGGTGCTCTACGGAGGAGGATGCCTTGACAAAAAGGCTGGCTTCTCTCCCTTCCTAGCCGTTTGCACCAGAGGCGCTTTCTACGTACAGCTCTTCCCCCTTTGCTTCCCGGAAGCTTCTTGCTCCCTGCAATATCCGCAGGCTCAGCACTTCTTAGGGCCATGTCAACAGACGTTGTGTTTCGGCTTGCCCAAAGATCTCGAGCTGAGCGTTCTGGGTAGCAGCAGCAGCAGCAGCAGCAGCAGCAGCAGCAGCAGCAGTAGCGACACTGCGGCCTTCTGCGCGTGGGCTCTTACAGACTTAACTCAGCGGTTCCTTGTTGTTGGTGTTACGGTGGAAAGAGGACAGCCTGAGGCACGTTCATACCTGTGCATTTTGGATGCTCAGCAGCAGCAGCATCCTGGTGCTGCTTCTGAGCAGCAGCAGCATCCTGGTGCTGCTTCTGAGCAGCAGCAGCATCCTGGTGCTGCTTCTGAGCAGCAGCAGCATCCTGGTGCTGCTTCTGAGCAGCAGCAGGAGCAGGAGCAGCAGCAGCTGCCTCTCTCCTCAGTTTTGCTGCTGCACCTGCCAAACCCCTTGGTAAAATTGGGTGCGGCCGTTCTTACGGGGGCCCCTGCGGGGGGGCCCCCCGAGATGGAGGCAGCAGCAGCGGGGCAGGAGGCGGAGGAGGAGGCTGCCTTGTACTGTTACTGCGTGTTTACGGCAGAAGAGGATCGACATCTGCTCCATCCGCAGTCGCAGCAGCGGCCTCACTTGCTGCGCGTTCACTACGTCCAGTGCAGCAAGCTCGCCGACTTGGGTTTGAAAAACGCGTTGCAGTGGCAGCATCTCCGCCACGCTGCAGCACCCCCAGCAGCAGTTGATGCGCTTCCAGCGATGGATGAGGGTCTTGTCAACGGGGAAAACGCAGAGCAGACACCCCTCACTCCCCCCCGCATTGCTGCAGAGGGTGCTGCTGCAGCTGCTGCAGCGGAGGATGCCATGACCACCATCGCACAGCGTAGCGGCAGGAGCAGCAGCTACTGCTGCTCCTTCGACGCGGGCGCCTCGCCAGCTGCTGCTGTGCATGCGGGAACGCCTCCAGCCAAGTTCGTGATGTCTTCAGAAAACACTGCTCAAGCAGCAGCAATCCCAGCAGATCCAGCTATCCTGCTTGCGTTGCCAGGGGGGCCTGCTGCTGCTGCAGCGGCAGCGGAGCACGCAGGCACCCCCGTCTTGCCGGAGGCAGATTCGACGTCTAGCGGCTTGTTGCAGCTGCTGCTAGCTCGCAACAAGGGCAGCAGCAGCAGCGCAAACAAGGACGCTTTGACTCCCGATTTTGACAAGCGGGCTGAGTCGTCGCCCTCTTCGGTGTCTCCGTCTCGCTCGGCAGCTGCAGGAGGGGGGGCCTCCTCTAGCAACGCGCGTGTCTCTGGCGCCTCTGGCAAGCCGAGAGAAAGCAAATCGGCAGAACCACCAGCAGCGGCAGCAGCAGGAGCTCTCTCCGGAGCTTCGCCGCATGCTGCGTCTCCTGCTGCCCCTAAGACGCAGGCAGAAAAGCCTCCTCAAGTCGCCTCCGCTTCAACGGCAACTCCGACGGCAGAATCAGAAGCTGCAGCAGGAAAAGCCAAAGCAGATGCCTCCGCAACACATCAGGCACAAGGGGGAGGACGCAAGAAAGGAGGAGGGAAGCAGCAGCAACAACAACAGCAACAACAACAGCAGCAACAACAGCAGCAACAACAACAGCAGCAACAACAACAGCACCCGGTATATTCGAACGCCTCACATCGCACAGAAAGCTCCGCAGAGCAGGTAAGAGCTCCTTGAAGGAACGGAAAAGGCATGCTAAAGGGGGGGAGGGGAGGGGTTGCTCTCCTATGGACGCTCAGAGAGCGCGTTCCTCACACCAGTTGCAGGAGTATTGGCAGTTTTGTAACGGGTACAGTAGCAATATTTTTGGCAGGAGGAGCGTTGAGAGAAGCTTCCGTAGGGTGTTTGTCGCGGAGAGTAGTGCACACAGGGGAAACAAGTTCGTGCGACTGTGTTGCATGCAGACTGTCGTGGGAGTCAGGCCATATCCTGAGGAAAAGGAAAGCCGTAAGCTCCTTCCTGACTCTGCTACAATTTTTCTTGCTGCTCGCAGACTCTTTATTCAGGATGCTGCTGCTTGGCTTGCTGCTCGAAGACTCTTTATTCAGGATGCTGCTGCTTGGCTTGCTGCTCGTACAGTTTTTCTCCAGGATGCTGCTGCCACAGCCTTTGCAACTGTTGGATGATGCCGCTGTTGCAGCAACAAACGCATGCCCCGAAGGAGTTCAAGAGCTGGCTGTCAGTCGCAGCCACCCTGTGACGTACGATGCTCTTGAGTCTCTGATCACGAAGGCGATAGGAGAGCTCACGCAGAAGATATCTGTACGCTGTGACTGCTCTGTTTGCTCGCTTTGGTGTGTCGGTTCTGCTCTGACAAGGTAGTGCAACTCTCTTCCACATTCCGCCGAGGCTCAAGAAGCCGACGAGCAGTTTTCTATGTGGCTGCTTGTGTTTTTTGCGACTTTTCCCACAGGCCAGCACGAGCACTATAGTGAAGGCTAACAGCTCATGTGCGCTGGAGCGACAGCACGCGCCTCAGCAGGCACAGCTGCAGCAGCAGCAGCGCATGGCAGGCTTAATTGCGACTGAGGTACAGCGTCTCTTCTCCTCGCAGCTGCAGACAGCGGTGCAGGAAGCGTGTGAAGCTGCCAAGCTTGCGGCAGTGAGTCTCTCTCTCTCCCTCTGCGCGCGCTCACGCTTCACGAGCTGCCTGTTGAAGTCGCTGCCTTGGCAGTCATCCAAATCTCCCTCCTTCCTTCCCCCCTTCCTTGCTGAGGCAGCATCTGGCCTTTGCTTTCTACTCCCACAGCATGCATTTCCAGCGTCGCACTGTTGCTTTTGAGGGGCCTATACACTGCGGGAGAAGGTGAAGGGGAAGAAAGGCGTGGAGTGCTCTTTGCGCAGCTGTCTCCGCCACAAGGAACGCCTTCCCTCGCTGCAGCAGCAGCACATCACCAGAACGTTGTGCAGCAAATGCAGCAGCTGGAATGTAATGTGTCTAACCAACTGCAAACTAAGCTGAAGCAGCACATAACCGGAACGAACCAGCTGCTGGAAGAGCACCAACGGCTGCTGCAGCAGCATATTCAGCAGCAAATCCTCCCCTTGCAGCATCACCTCCACAAGTGGCAGCAGGCACAACAGCAACAGATGAATCAGATGCAGCAGCTGCTACTTCAAATGACACAGCAAATTCAGCAGGTACAACAGCAGCTCCTGCGCTTGCAGCAGGTGCAGCACCAGCAGACACCTGCAGACGCATTCTCTGGCGAGAAGCTTCTTGAGACTGTAGACAGTCATCTTAAGGCGCAGTCGGAGTTGCTACACAAGGTGCGTCTGAAGTCTGTCGCTGCTTTTCCGACGATGATCGCGCAACTGTGCCACATTACCACCCATGCATGTGCAGCGCCTTCCCGCCGTGCATCCGTTTGGCATGGCATGCGCGCTTTGTACGATCGCATGCCTCAACGAATGCATGAGGTTCACGTCGAAGGATTTCGATCCGCAAAAGTTGAAGCACTTGATGAGCAATCGTATAAATGCATATATATATATATGTATATATATATATATATGTATGTTTATGTGTAAGCAAACGCGAAGCCTGCTGCGCTGGCGCATACACGTGCCTGTTCTTTTCGAGGGGGCGACTGCGTCACATTTAGAAACAGCTGCTTCCCGTGTCGGTTGGAGTATCGAGGCATTTGATTTGTGCCGCCCCTTCCCGGTGGAGTGCTATCGATGTTGACGACATGCAGCCGCTTTTCCGTGCAGCAGCGACACTTCTCGTGCGCAGGCTTCCGCGGCAGCATACTCCTACCGCGTCCTTCCTGTTGGCGTGAAGGCTGTTGTGTGTGTATTTTGGTGTGCCTCTCTGTTTGTGTGCTTCGCGTGATGAGGCATCTGGAATGGCTTCTCGTCTCTGTCCGTACCTTCTAGGGGGTGAGTGCGTGAGTGTGTTTGCGCGGCTTCTTCCACAGAATTTTAGTGCTTCTGACAGCGCGATCGCCCACCTTCGGGTTCAACTGCAAGACGCGCAGGAGGATACGAAGGAGATGCTAGCAAAGCAGCAGCAGAAGCAGCAGAAGCACTTCCTGGAGCTGCAGCAGCAGCAGCAGGCGCTGCTGGACCGGGTTGCAGCGATGTCTAGCACCGTAGCGGAATTTGCACAGCTGCGATCTCATGCTTCGCGGGAAGGGCTCGCGGGTGTTTCTGAGGAGTTTTCGTCTTTGATTGGAGCGCCGTCCTCCGAGGCTGCTGAGCAGCGCAGGATGTCGGCACACTTCACGGAGAGTCTGAAGGCTGCAGTGGAGGAAAACAAGCTCGACGAGGCTTTCGGACTGGCTATTTCCGCCGATATTCGCCAAAACACCAAGGGATTCTGGGTTACACACGTCTGCAAGAACCTCGACGCGGACGCAGTCTTCGATGTGGAGCCACCAGCTCTCAGTCAGCCTGTGCTGCTCGGAGTTGGAAAGGGTAAGACAGAACGCGACAGATTTGTTTCGACTGGGAAGCGCAGCGTGTGGAAAGGCTTTGATGGGTTTTCATAAACCTTCAGGCCGCTGTACTATCCCGCAAGTAGCTGGTTCAGAATCCGGCAAAAACTGCGCTGAGGTTTCTTCGCTTGGTTCTAACGCGCTCGAACACGGACTGGCGCACGCCGAGGTTTACGACAGACAGACAGACGGGCATCTAGCTCAGCTGGTGCAAAACAGCGCTTGGCGATGTCACTTGAGCCGCTTATCCGGAGGGAGGCTTTTCCTGGTGTTGCACTGTGCCGTTAGTGAGCGGCTCCGGCCTGCGGGTTTGTGCAAGGGTAAGGCAGCTAAGCAAATAGATGTCTGTTTCTCTCTGTCTGTCTGTCGCGCGCAGTTCTTACCGAGTCACTAGCGTCGGAGGCATCAAGAGGAGATCTCGAAGACTTGAAAACAATGGCTTTGTGGATTTCGGAGGCACTCACGCAGATGGTTGCTCCGTCGCAGCACATCGAGTCTCAAGATCTTAGCCATGTAATGCTGCACCGTCATCGTGAACCTTGGTGGTCTCCCCCTATCCCCTCCCTACGCAGCTTCTGTACTTTCTAGGGTGTCTGGCTAGCCACCGATCCTGATGCGCTTCGTTGCGCAAGCAGCTGCGTAATATCCGCCCCAATGTGTACTTGTTTAACCCCCGACCGACTCGTGCATGCCTGCTCGTTCGTTGGTGCGGCGCCTGCCTCTCACTGCGGTGTTGCCGCAGCTCTTACATGAATTCAAGACGCATCTGCTCTACGCTCAAGCAAACTTCCGCAGTCGAGACGATGGTAGTACTGTAGTCTTGGGGGAACGAATCGCCGTGTCCTTAAGGCAGCTGAAGAGGTAAGCTCTTTCTTGGCTATTTTTCTTTAAAGAACTGGTAAACGCATGGCTGTCAATTCTCAGCGATATTGCGGTGCTTGCCGATGCGCGGGTAGCTACTACTGTGTGTACACACAGGACTGGGCTTGGCTCCTTGGTTTTCTGTCTTTCAGGCTTATTAGAGCTGTGGAGGCTGCCGTTCCCACAGCGAGGAGCTAAGTTCTGAGAGGGAGGACAGCCTGTGCGTCATTAGGATTTTGAATTACTGGTGCCTTCTTTTGGAAAGCAGCTGCCTTGACAATGTTTCAGCTCAAGCATTCAACGCAAGTCCTTTCCCTCACCTGTGGCGTTGATGCGTCGTCAAACCGTATTTTAATCAAGGTCGCCTTAGTATCTGTTTTCTTACTTGAGCTTCGCGCATGTGCTTGGCACAAACAGCCTGTACACACTGACCAGCGCTTGGGGGTCCAACGCCATTTTGGTGGTTGAAGATTCATCTTCAGGCCCTTCGGGATACGCAGATTTAGATAACCCCGACCAATTTAGATCACTTCACATCGGACCTAGATGCCATGAGGGAGCTATTTATCTGGAGTTCTGCATTAGTGCGTCAGACCTGCACACATCTAACAGGAACATGCACTATGGGGTATAAAGCCTCCCTGAAAGCTGTCGGCACAAGCCCCTACATTTATTGGCGTTTCAGCGGCTTTAGTTCCAACCCAATACTTTGTTTGTACGCAACAGATCTACAAACGCCTGGTACTTTGTAAGGCCCGAGAAAAACTCAAATAGGTGTAGGGAACGATATTCAACCTGATATTTCATCAGTCCATGGCTACCTGAAAATTCGCCAGGCGGCAGAAGGCTGAGAGCCGAGCCCACTAAGGATGACACTATCCCAGCGTGATTGGTTTGTCATGGGAAAGTAGGACCGATGGTTTTGCAAGATAACTTAAACTTTACTGTCTGTCTTTCCCTGTAGTATTTTTGTTTACTATTCAGTATGTTGCTGTGAGCTGTGTTGCACTGAAAGCGAAAATGCGATGACAAATCCATCATTTGCTCGTGCCCCGAAGAGAACGCATTTGGGTATTCCTACTGCTGTCATTTGCGCTAGCCACGAGCCTGTCGTCGAATGGAGGAAACTTTACTCTGAAGGAGAACGGATCCGCATCGGGCTGTTTATAAAAGGTGTCTACTAAATTCACCCAGGAAACCAAGGTATTGGTACTCTGACATGCTTCAGCACCGTGACGTAGTTGAGATGGGCCGCTGTGAACTGCGCAGGATATCATGCATACTAGGAGCCAGCATTCAGGATGCCTGCACATCGAATCCCAACGCAGATATTCTCTTTTGTGAAAAATATTCCATATAAATTGGTTTAAGAAATCTACGTATGTTTCCTTCTGGTGCCTGCACCTTAGTCGAATAGTATCCTCCCCTTTTGAGCTGTATTAGCAGTAATATTGAAGCTAGACCAAGAAAACGAGTTTCCGTATGCAAAAATCGAGCAAAGACTGCCTGAAGTGCCCGGATGAGCTGGTCACCATACGCACATGACACCAAAGGGCATAGTTGCAACGTGTGAAGTAGGACTGCAGCCATGGGGCTGTTCAGTGGCTCTTGGAATTACAAGAAATGAGAAGGCCGTGTGTTGCTGTGTGGTATCACACACATTGTTTGCTTACCAATTGCTACCAGCGGTGGCTTTTGCCCAAGCTGCTCATTGGCTTCTTCATGGGTCATGTACAATCGCAATAGAGCCAGTTATGCAGTGGTACTGGTGAAAGCTAGTTGATATCCTGACTAAACTTGTAGGAATTTCTGACGTTGAAAACGCGCCTACAAATGGAGGATTAGCCTATGAGTAGAAGACGCGCATATGAATGAAAGTTGTGTTTATCTTACCGCTGCCCTGCACTTTACCATCGCCCCCAACTAGTGATTCCTGGCTGGCAGAGCCAAAGGCTTTCTAGTATAGGACATCTCTGAAATGTATTAACGAGTTGACATTCCTGTAGATGTCATGAGGTTAACTAGGTAAGGTAGAGAAAATCAACTGGGGTGTACTCGTCCTAGGAAATCTTCGAGTCTGACCCAAGGGTACCATATGCTCAAAATTGGCACAACAACCGCAATATCCTAAACAATTTCCTCAGGTGAGTTTATCAAGGCGGTGTGCGATGAAAAACCAAGTAGCTTAGAGGACTCCTTGATGACAAATGAAGGGCAGCGTTGATTACTGCTAATTGTGTTTTGTAGAGTTTCTAGTAGAATGCCTTCCACCAATTTCTTGCAGCTGGCCATCGCTACATTCTTAGAGACACTCTCCACCACATCCATTCTATTTAAAACGAACAGCTATGAATTGATTATGTGTTTTGGTGGCTTCTGTTTGCTCTGTGTCGCAGAGCGAAGCTAACTTAACGTGAAAAGAATCAACGATTGTGTGCCTATGCGCTAGTTGCCTTATACCACTTGGTCTGGATCTTATGAGTTCATGGCGGCTCAGCAGGGCTCGCCCGCGCCGCCCTTCTCTCCTCATGCCTACTCCCTGTAGGGTGAGGGTAGTGGAAGCAAAGAGCTCTTTTGGAAGAGAAATCAGTGCTCTGCTTGGCGTTTTGTATTGGTAAGTGACTTCCCATGGAGACCATCGGAGAATCACATATTTTTGTGAGCTATTGCAAAATTCCCGATAAAAAGCTCCAGTACTCAAGCTACCTAAATGAATTTTACTCTGAGGTTACACGGTTAAAAGTAGACTGCATTAAGCGCAAGGTTCTCCGAAATTGCGAGAATTTTTTGATGGTCGCAGGTGCCTCCAGGAAGCAGAATAATCTGATACCTTCAAAAATCCCATAGAATGCAAGACTATTTGCAATTCATGGCGGTCATCTTAGCACAGTTGTACTACTTGTCTCTAGCAGACTGATGCGGTTCCTGCAGCTGGTCCACGAGGACAAACTGTGGAGGAGCTTCGAAGAAATTCGTTGTGTGCCATCAAAACATACATGACCAGTCCACCCAGATGGAATGATAACAATTTCTTACTTACTTCGCTATGGAACCGAGCTTTTTCCTACTTACGGTAGTCTTGCTCATGATCCTTTTGACCATGGCGAAATCGAGCTCCCGTCGGCAGGTAGGGCGGAGCCTGTAAAAGCAACCTCCATTCTCATGTCTAAACGGCGTCAGCGGGAGAAGATAAATATTTTACGTCTAAAGAATTCTTAATATTGGAAGAAGATGAGCCCTGTGTTACCCATTGTTCAATACCGGACGATGTGCGTCAGCCATGCAGCGCAGTCGGCGGCAGGGCTGCTTGCCTGTCGGCGGCGACTAGCTGAGGCTTCAACAAGGAAGTCTCCAGCGGTGAAATCTCAGATATGAAACCCTCGAAAGACTTTAGAAGCTGGTTTATTGACGCATTGAGGCTAGTGTGTTTTGATTCCGAGCCCACTTGTAGCGGGTTTTTTTGCGGCTGCCACACGGTCCTCAGCTTCCCGGCAGCCGAAAGAAAACGGTGAAGGGGCGTCCAGGGTACTTTGATGCCGTTTTGGATGACCGCTGAGTTTTAGATAAAACTTGAGGGCTACGTGTCAGTGTATTTCTCTGTAAGCAATCCGAATACGCTTCACAATGGCGCGTCATGCCCGAACTGGCAGGGGCCTCCGTGCTCGCTCGGTTGCCTACACAGCAGCGATCTTGGTAGGTTTGCTCAACATTAACTCGGCCTTTGGACAGCTCAAGTTTGCAGCTCTTGGCAACTACGGCTTTGACGTCTTGGGGCAGAAGCAAGTAGCGGAAACCCTTAAGAAATCCGCTGCCGATCAACGCATCAGCTTCATTGTGAGCCCAGGGAGCAACTTCCCTAACGGTGTTTCTGGAGCCAACGATACCACGTGGGAACAACAGTTTGAAAACGTTTATTCTGACGAGCATGGTGCTCTCAAAATGCCGTTCCTCACAGTTCTTGGTGCAGAGGACTGGTCAGGTAACTATACCGCTCTGAGAGACAGAACAAACCTCGTCTACGGCGATGGAACAGAAAATGAGACTGCCTCGAACGCCCCAAAGTGGACCCTTCCCAACTGGTGGTATCATTATGCTGTCCATTTCGCCGCTTCAACCGGTGAGCTCCCCGTATGAAGATCTTCATTTGCATGTGCACTTTGGGGAAGATCGAAGAGTGGACCCCCTCCAGGTACTGTCTTGGTAGCTCGCCTAGGAGGATACAAGTAGCTCAATTACCCGATTTTTGTTTGTGGGCTTTCGCAGGAAGTGCATTCATAAGCTCTGGGCACAAGGATATGAGTGTAGGATTGGTCTTCATCGACACATGGGTGCTTTCGTCTTCCTTCCCTTTCGGAAACGTCACGGAAAAGGCATGGACTGAGCTAGAAGCTACGCTGGATATTGCCCCCAAAGTGTTTGACTACATTATTGTAGTAGGAAACAGGCCTGTATACAGCAGCGGGTCATCCAAAGGCGACTCAATGCTGCAGTACTACTTGGAGCCTCTGTTGAAGAAGGCAGGAGTTGACGCTTACATCTCTGGCTACGACCATGACATGGAAGTCATCGAGGTAAGACTTAGTCATAATTTACAGGTTTTATATGCTTAATATACTTCTTTGCCTTTCGCTGTGCTAAAATGCTTGAATGCGAGCAGTTTTTTCTTCTTGAACGTGGAGCCTGCTAAACTGCACTTTTTTGGTGAAACAGATCATTGATTTTGCCGCATTAGCAGCGTGGGTGTACCCTGTGAGCAGGATGGGGAGATTGCGCACATCAACTGTGGCACGGGTTCCGTTGCTGGCAGCAGCTCATTGGTTGGAGTCTCCGGCTCCAAGTTTTTCAGCGGAGATCGCGGCTTCTGTCTCTTTGAACTTACCGCCGACGGGCTAGTGACAAAGTTCATCAAGGGGGAGACCGGCGAAACACTCTTTGAGCATAAACAGCCCGTTAAGAGCCGCCCAGAGAGATCCACCGTAAGAATATAATCCCTGAACACGCATACATTGTGTACCAGTCTACGATCCACGACACTCCAAAATGCAGAGCAGGCCCATGTCTTAGGTAGATCAGCAAATACATGGACAAAGCTTCGAGTCGCCCTTCAACTATTACAGTGTTGAGAGCAGTTGCTTTTGGATGTATGGATGCAGATCGACCAGTTCAACTACCTGAGCGAAATGCCCGAAGTAACGTATTATCCGATTCCAGCTATGGGCAAACTACCAGGCAAAGACGTATTCGTCCGCGTCGTGGGGACCATCGGTCTCTGCATCTTGACCTTCTTCGCCACACTGGCTGTTGCCAGCAGCATCTCCAAGGTGATGAAATGATTCTTCTCCTAGTCTTAATTGCTTTAGCATATTTGGTTAAACCTCCTCATTGCCCGGCCAAACGCAGAGATATGTGTAGGCATTTACGTGCACATATACCCAGTGTACCCACAGCGTGTTTGAGTACGTAATATACATATATTACACAACTTGCAAATCAAGTGCATTGTGTACAAAACAACTACCTCTGGTCAGGCAGGAGGACAGGACTGCCGCTGGGCGCTTTAACTTTAGATTCATCGTGTGATAAGTTGCGTTATCGCTGCACACCTTTAAGAACTAAACAATCTTGAGGGAGGTGATGCAGCTTTTACACGGAGCGTAGATGCGACGCGGGAGCAGGCTGCGCTGTTAAGGCCGGTTTCCGCCCTTAAAAATCCCACGACTAGAGGCTTAGGTCAACCAACCTCCCACAATATTCAGTACACAGAAAATGTGGAGAGCCCCAAATCACCTAAATGGATGGCTATTCTACTAAGACAGACTATTCAGCCACATTCATGTGGTTTCAGAAGAGTTCCGAGTTTCTGATCGCAAAAGGTACATGGCACTGCCGTCAATACAGCCATACTCCAGCCGGACGAAACGAAAATGAGAGATATCGCCCCAAGGTTTGAGGACCTCAGAATGTGGGAAAGCAAGGGAAAACGCAATGAGTGCCGGCGGGACGATGAATGAAGAGTCCACTAATTGTTGGCTCGAACAACTGGCTGCAACACTGTTCAGCACAAACGAGGGTATGCCCACGGGGATTTGGGGAGGTGAGACTTCACAGGTTTCAGAAGGGTACAATCGAAGCCTCAGCAACGGGCTCTAGTCTCTGTACTATAGATTTGGGAGATGATTATGCAGGCATGTCTCACAGACCCCGCTGGGTGCTGCCCCCTAAGCGGCGCATGGCCACGGTGCTGCTGGCCGCAAAGGCATGCATATATGAGCCGAGCCGACCGCAAAAGACAGTAGCAGCCCTTTTGGTGCTCGAGGGTGTGCGGCATTGATGCTGCAGCTTAGTATGCCCTCCGAAATGGCAGGTGGGAGAATAGACTCCGGCCAAAAACGAACGAGCGCTTCGCCGTGTGCAAATAGCCGCCTCTCTTCTCTCTTGTCTCCTCTCCCTCTCTCTATTCAAGGAATGTGTAACGAGGCCCAGAATACCATGAGGGTTCGCGTGATACTTGCTGCTCAGCAACAGCACTATACAAAGGGGCGATGCGCAAATAAAATATCTCATGAACACATCTTCGCACGTTCTAGCAAAGTCTTGGGCAGTTGCAGCGTGGGATGGAACCGCTGCATCTCCCGCAAGAAGCCTAGGCTGCAGCAGTCCAAACAGAGTAACAAATCGCACAGCAACGCCGACATAGGGCGGGCGGCTTCGGGAAGGATGCGCGCAAAAAGGCAGCAAAGTGAACATCAACGCGGAGCGCGCGGGAGAGAGGGCCACGCAAGAACTCTGCAGCCGTCGAGAAAATCACCAGGCAAAAAGAGCAGCGCACAGGAAGTTGAAACAGCTGCAGTGTACGATGGGGGGGGGGGGGGTGACCAAGTACACTCGAGGGCGATTTTCTCACCGGAGCTGCGGTTCGTCCATATTGGCCCAGTCATTGAATGGTAACCGCACCTTCTCACTCGCCGTTACCTGCCGAAAGTGCATGCATCAATAAGAATTTTCTCCGCCCTCAGTAGCGCGTTGAACCCGAGCACATTGGCGGGTGTACACGAAACAAGGATTTCCGGACGGCGGGCACGGAACTATTTGCAGTTAGGGAGGCACACCTCTATCGCCGGGTTGCGAACTTCTTTGAAAAATGGATGCGCGAGGCACTCATCAACGGAGATGCGCCGCTTGGGGTTGAAGACCAACATTCGCTTTAGAAGGTTTAAAGCCTCCGCTAAACACAGACACAGCAGCTGCGGATGAGCAGTCATGCGTGGGGGCAGCGTAATGCACAGGCATTCCGAGACAAGGCTCTATGCAGAGAAAACGGCCTGCTCGGGTGGAAAAACATGAATCATCGTAGAAATATGCCACCCTACACACCCAGGCCGAATGTGGACACGGGCTCTGCGAAAAAGTAGAACCGCCAAGCTGGAAAAAGTCTACGCTGCCGTAGACACTGAGCAGATGGAAGGGCCCAGAGGGATAAACATAGCACGCTGAAGCGCAGCTGTAAGGCCTTACGGGAAGAAGCCGAGAACCGCTCAGCAAGATCATGCGCCTCCTTTGGGGCAAAAGTTCGAATGTATTGCTTCGCCTCTTGAGATTCCAGAGCTTCGATCTCCTCCTCGCTGGGTGTGCCCAGCACATTGAAGATAACATTCAGCTGATCCTTGTTTCCCCGCGTCTGCAACCTGCGTGTCCGAGGCACCGTAAGTATACACTCCACAGTTGACAGGGGGCGTTTCGAATGGCGAGGCAGCAACAAGGGCAGATCTACAGGAGAGCAGAAGCCGACGGCGTTTGTTTGCGTGCTACATTCTTCAGCACCCGTCGTAAGAAGCCGAGGAATGACCAATGACTGCGCTTACTTGGAATCGTCGCCATTCTTCTGGTCCGGGGAGAGGGGGAAACAAGAAGAGCCTGGAAACAGGGGACCCCTGTCGCAATGCGATTCAACGTTCTCCTCCTTAGCCACACGAAAACATAACAATTTCCGTGCCGTCAAACTGCATGTTAGGAATGACATAAAACCGCTCCTCACGATAGGGCTTGACTCGTTTGGCACGCTGCTGCACGACGCTGTAGTGTTAACAACCAATGCGCACTGGATAAGCGCTCAGCGGCGTCAAGGGAGCAAAACTCATTGAATAGAAGCAGGTAAAGGAAGTGCCAGCTTCGTACAATCATGGAGAGTAGCTCTGAGAAAATGCAGCCTATCGACCACACGTCAATGGCCTCTGTGTAATTCTCTGCGAGCAAGATAAGCTCCGGTGCGCGATACCACCTGAAAGAAACCAGCGGAGAGCAGACAACACCTTAAAAGCGGCATGCAATGCATGTCTTTCTCTAGCCACGACAGCGCCTTGCTGCCGAAGAACTGGCTGGAGATCTTCGCCCCTTAAGCCCACAGCGGGGGGGGGGGGGCGGGGAGAAGCGGGAGAGTTCAAGTGTTTGCGAGGCGGCTGGAAGGGAAGGAGGTGGTCCTCCCCACTCCGAAACGAGGAAACAATTTGCACACACCTGGTGACAACATGACCCGTGAGCTGTCTTTTCAGGTTCTTGGTGTGGGGGACGTTCACGATATCGTCATCCTGTTGAGTGATGGGGTTGTGGCTGCTGTGCCCCTCTGGGAAGTCCATTGTTCGAGCAAGGCCAAAATCGCAGACTTTCACGCTGCAATCTTGGTTGACCAAGCAATTCGCCGGTTTCTGTGGACACAAAAGAGCCATCAGACTCGAAAGATAAGCAGCGCGCAGCCACAAAGCCCAAGACTCTAGTCTCCTATTCAGCTGCCGAGATGCAAAAAGTAACATGCATACATTTACGTGCATCCCGCGCCAAATAATAACCACAAGAATAAAAAGGCGCAGAGAGAGAAACGCGCATGTGAAACAACGCCAAGCAGCCACAGTAAGGGGCTCTTGGGGGCAGAGGAGGGAAACGGTGCAGCTAGGACGCACCAGGTCTCGATGAAGAATGCCTGCGGAATGTACATACTTGACCCCAACAAGAAGATTGTACAAAAGCGTCTTAATGTGCAACTCCGTCAAATACACAGGAGCGCGGAAGAGCTTTTTGAAGTCCGAGTCCGCTATCTCCAAGACGACGTACATTTCCTGCATGGAGGGCACACGGCAACCGCGTGGAGACGGTATACGGCAGTATGTGACAAGTGCATGAAGCCAACAACGCCGCATTGGAGAAGGCTTAGTTGAGGACAGGATACTTGCGTAAGCGATGGTCTGTGCGCGAACTATTCCTCATGCCACTGAGGGAGGCCGGGTGTATGCGCACGTCGAATTTCTCGAGGTCGGTTGGGACCAAGATATCAAGGATCTTCACGATATGGTTATGGTTCAGGCGGTTCAGGATGGCGATTTCCCTGAGAATACGCTTGCAGTCTATTAAGTCTTCAAATACTCGATGAATCTTTTTGATCGCCACAATTCGTTGTTCCTGGTTGTCGTACACCTCGCAAACGTGCCCTGCAGGCAAGGCAGAGGACCACGAAGGACGCATTCAAAAACGACACAAGGGCGTTCACACATGACCCAACATGGAGGCACTGTTATTTGGAGGCAGGATGCCGATGCAAGCAGCGCAGGCAAGCATGCTTCTTGCAAGCTTTCATACCCTGCACACCGGATATGCACAGTCAGTCTGCAGGCTACCCAGGGCCTGGGATACGCCAATCGGACAACGCACCGTAAGAGCCCGTGCCGATGAGATGATGGAGTTCATAACGCTCTGGCAACTGCCAGTCCGTCAGGGGATGCGGCATTCGGGTAGTTGGTTTAACCGCGTGTTGAGCCTTCCGCTGAGGGTCATGATTTTGGTGTCTTTGTGCATGTTGTGGCGCGGGTGGCTGGGCACAGCGCTGCGGCTGTTGCATTGTGGTGGTGCAGGAAGCTGCAGGCGGGGGGGTCACTTGTTTCACCGAAGCATTAACGGCACCTCCGTGGCATTGCTGCTGGTAGTAGACGTGCTGCTGGTGGTCGAATCTCTGTTGTTGCTGGTAGCGGGAATACTGGTGCTGCTGTTGCTGCTTCTGGTACGACTGCTGCGGAGGACACTGGGCATACCCTTGCCCGAAACCAGAAACAGGAGCCGCGCTGACAGCGCCTTGAGACTTTGGGTAACTCATTACAAAAAATGGAAACGAAGAAGCTAGCTACGGGATATCAGATATCAGGAAGGCCACCAGAACACCATGGCCACTACGCGGAACTGCAGCGTCCTCGGCAGCGGCGGCCGGAAACCAGCAGAACACATGCGGCGATTTGAACAGAGGTAGAAGTTGATGAATGATGGTTAAATCTCAAACGAAATACGTCAGCAAACACTTTCCTTCCTCGGCGGTGTTGTTATGCACACAGTTCGAAGCACGGTCCCAAATAATAGATCAGTGGAGCTAGACCAGCCAGTCCACTTGAGCACGCCAGCAACAAACAACAGGTGAACATAAACACCAGGGGAGCTGTCCTTTCGGGCCGCAGGTTGCCGCGTCCGAAGTCCGTCTATCTGTCAGGCGTGCACACACACCACCCCAGCCACGCGCATAGGCAAATATGCGAGAAACTGCGAGCCTTTTTAGCATAAACAGGAAACTGGGACATAGAAGGATCTAGAACCACATAAGGATTCGAACTGTAAGAGCTCAACGAGGAATAATAGGCGTGGTATCAGCTCGCTCGCCCGCGTGTCGGCCCAGGCACCAGCAGCGCTGCCTGAGCGCCAGGGATGGATGACACGGCACATGCGCTCCCGACGCTCCGAACATACAATCAAGCTGGCTAATACACCAATTGAAGCGAATTACTGGCTCCTTTGAAGAAGCTGTCCTTAGACAAGACGACGCCAAAGGTGGCCGGGGCGGATCCCTTGCGTTACCATGGGTAGCCTGAGGGCAGCCCACCAGGCAGTAAGCGGCTGTCCAAGGGTCGCAAAACCGAAAATCGCAGGAAAGGAAGGATGTTCTACAGAAATAGATGGCCGTAATCCGTTTGTGGAAAGGTGGGGCCGAAGCAGGGATGGCCGAACCTTGCACCCTTGTTGTGCACTCAACAGAGCAAGACGAAATAACGCCGATTCCCTGCCTTCGGGAGGGAATCTGTTACATCAAAAACCGTCGCATAAACGGTTTTAGAGCATAGTGCAAAGGGGTAACGCTGCCCAAGAGGCCGGCCATGTGCGCATATATGCAAGATGAGGGGGGTGGGCGCCAAGCGGTCGCCTCGACTGCGCCCCCAGTATAGTCCTCACTTTGCTGCAAACCCCTCCTTATCATTCTTTGGCGGCCATATTCCATTATTTATTTCCCAGTTTGCCCATTTGCATGTATATTGTTACTTAGCAGCCTGCCAACTGAAGACACCTCTGTTGCGCATGCTCCGGGGGGCTTGTGGGATAGCATCGTGTATACTGCGGCGCCTCCGATCTCGGCCTGTTGCTTTGATGGGGAAATAACTTACTAAATATGTATTGTTTGCTCTTGAGCAAATGAGGAAGAAGCCAAGAAAGACATTTGTGGGGATTACCCATCAAAGAGTTCGCCCCCGTGTGGGCAACCCACTGGGGGCCAACTAGTTACATGAATAAGTTTGAAGCTAAGTCATTACACATTTCCTTATTACAAAAATAACACTGAGCGAGGAGCCAAAAGTATGGAGGAATGCAATTTCGCTGCTTAAAGCTCGTTTTTGCACATTGGACTCCCCTCACTCTGGGGCTACCCCAGCAGCGCCCGTATTTTCTGCAGCTTGCTAGGCAGCTGAAGAAGCTTCCACCTGACAAAAACTCTTTCTAAAAGGCGCAAATAGGGCTATTACTCTGGCCCAAAGTCCTTACGTGAAGTGGGTAATCAGGGGATCAGCAGGGGCTAATCACACCAACGCCTACTACAGTCACCTAGTAGCCCAAAAAAACCGGTGCCGGCACCCTCCTTATTACCATTCAACAACATAAATCTACCCCACTTCGTGAACAATCGTGTTTTCTCAAGCCGCAGTGCAACAGCGAAGGTCCCTTTATGGAACTTGATTGCACAGGGAGGTATTCGTAAGCGGTGGATTATCCTTGAATCCCATACACTTCAGCCCCCGGTTCGTTGATTATCCAGCTTCAGACTCGATACGAACTTAATAAAACTATATTTAGCGCCTTTATGAAGACCTTCCTTTACCCCCTACCTGCACCCCTCAGGGCATCGACTTGAGAGGCCAGTCACAGCTAGTGTGGGGGTAGCTGCTCCCTCTGTGCACTCTGAGCATTCACAACTAGTTGCACACACGTCATCTAGCGCGCACGCACACAACACTGCGTCTTCTCTCATGAAGCTAGTAGTAGTCTGCAATGAGCAAGATATACGCCCAGACAGAACAAATGGTCCATTATTTACTGACTACTAGTTGAACATAACGGGCGAAGTAGAAAATGCTCAGTGTAACTCAGCCCGCTACAGGATTGGAGGGGAGCGGCAAGGGTAGAAGGCAGCCCTTTAAATAGCGCTAACGAGCATTCCATTTTGAGCATGGAGTTAGATGTCCCTTGTCGCAGACCTTAGATGAAGCGCTACAGGGCTTAAGATGATTGAAGTCTCCAAGCGCCTGTAGCGCGTTCCTTGCACTTCATTTAATATTGTGATTGTGAGGCAACGGAAATCATTATATGCACGATTCGCAGTCCACGTTCAAAGAAAAGTTCAGCAAGTAGAAGCAGGAGTGTGCTATGCACACGAGTAGCCAAGCGCTGGGAAAACCCCTGCTGCCTCGTGCTGCTCGAGCCAGGTGTGTGTATTTTCGGATTTTCTTGAGCATCTTACTCTGCAGGCCTGTGCGGCATTTTCGCGAATGCGATAATATCACCAGCCGGGCGCTTTGCCTCCCGCCTGCTCCAGCAGCACTTCGTATGCGAGGTTGATATTCTGCATAAATTCGTGCCGCGCCTTGTAGTCGCGAGACGCATTGGAGGTACTCGTCTCCTCGCAAGCCACGAGGCATCCCTCCCCCCTTCGTTTGCCAGCGTTCACGCCGGCCCGATCGGGGTGGTGGCGTCTTGCGAGCTGCCTGTACCTGTGTTTTATCTCTGCTATTGTTGCGTTGTTCCCCAGGTTAAAAAGCTTCAAGGCACCAGCCAGCGCCTCCGTGTCTTTTTTTTCTGTCTCGATCTGTTCATTCCAACTGGCTTGCACTTGTTGAAGCATCCACTCCAGCGTCCGTTCGTAGCCCTCTACGCGCACGCGCCTCTGGAGTTCGTCATGCAGTGCCTTAAGCTCCAGCCACGCCTGTTTCAGGTCGTCCTGTTGCATTCTCTCCTGCAACATCGAGAGAGGGGTTATAGCCACTCCGTCTTCTGCCCACCCCACCGGAACGTCAGCAGTACCGACAAGTAACACCAGCACCCACAACAACGCCAGTACAGAGACACAAGTGCACCGCACGCGACTGACTACGCCTAAGGGCACCCGGTGTACAGACAGCACGAGACCCTCCCACGCCCATCTGCAGCGCTTGCTGATGCGGGAACACAGACGTTCATGCCGAAGCATTTGTGCTCTATTGTGCAGCAGTTTTCTCGCCGCAAGTATCCCAGCTGCCTGCTCCAGACGGGCATGCTGTTCCCACAGGGCAGGCGGGATGCTGCATCGTGCAGCGGCGGCAGCTGCAACAGTCAGGAGGACGCCTGCGGATAGCATCTTGCGGCTGGCGTCCGTCTTAGGCCACTGAAGCCATCCTAACGCTTTCTGTTCCTGCACCAGAAGCAGGAGGTACTCTGTCGCCCTCACTCGTTCCTCGTGCAGAGGCAGAATCGAAGAGATCTCGGAAGGCAGGAGCTGCAGGGGAAGGCCTACCAGCACGTGGGGTAATCCCGCCACCAGACTCTCATAGCTCCAGAATTTATTCGCAGCCGCGGCACTCCAAGCAGCAGTAGTGACGAGGGAGCAGAGGAGCGGCACCAGAAACGCGAAAAGCAGACGCCAATGCACGTTCCACTGCTTTGGAGGCCGTTCCAAGACGCAGCCGCAGTGCTTCTCGGCGCCGCTGCTTCTAGAATGAACTGCACAGGGGACTGCGGGAAGGACGGCGAGAGAAGCGTACTCCCCAACGTGAAGGTTCATGAACGCGGCGGCGAGGCAGGCTCTTGCGAACGCATGCAGCAGCGGCAGCAACCAAGGCAATGGCAAGCTCCATCCTGATGAGCCGAGCACTGCTTCGAAACGATCAAGGGGGAGGAGGGTGAACACGACTACCAATACGAAGCAGCAGCAGAAGGTGACCACGTCCTTCGTCCTCCTCCAAAGCCACTTGCTGACACCAGCAGCGGTCCGCAGCACCCACGGAGAGCTTTGTCGCTTTCTCCTGCAGCTGCTGCACGATTCAGCGTGGTGCAGCTGCGCGGCAGCCACCGCAGCAGCTACAGCGTCTGGAGAGACCCCGTACAATCGCGCAGCCGCCTTAAGATCACCTGCTAGAATCCTCTGTGCTGCCGCGTTTGCTTCTTCTTCTGCGAGCGGCGGCGAGTCTTCCTCTCCTACCAAGGGACGCTGCGCAGTTGGCATAGCCGCTGACGCTGCGCCGCTGTCTGCCGCCTCCGCTTGCCATTTCGAAGCAGCTGCTGCAGTGGCATGACAAGAAGGCTCATGCGCAGCGGCCAAATGGTGACACAGAGCACTGACCAACTGCCCAAGCCGCAGCCTCTCCTCCGCAACCGCCTTTCTGGTTTCTTTGGGGTGTATCGACAGGAGCAAATCCAGCTGTCTCTGAACCCACCTCTGCTGCCGCTGCTCCAGCACACGGGTGTAGACCCAACGCACACCGAAGACGCAGTCATACAGCAGCAGTAAGCCGCAGCCTCCGAAAGTAAAAAGCCGCAGCAACTGTTGTGGCAACAGCGCAGCACACCCTGCAGCAGGCAATCCTAAGAACCCCCCAAAGAGGTATGCCAGCGCAAATTCGAGGCGGACGCCCCATATATTCCAGTAGGAAAATGGGCTGCCCCAGTACGCAGCTAGAGGCGGCAGTTCAGCATCAGTAGTGGCCTTCTTGCTTGTGTGCGCTGACGCCGCTGATGATGGCTGGCTGCGCTGCTGCACACCCACAGAGGCACTGCAGACGTTACCGCCTGCAGCACAAATTCTGGAGCGAATCTGCTTGCCCTCCGTACTGCTGGTGCTGCAGTCGTTGGCGCTGTTGCCTCCTCTGCAGGGGGAAACGGTGGTGAGGCTGGCTTCTCCTGCGGTGTGAAGACTGCTGCAGTTGCTGCTTACAGCGGGGTCCTCCAGCGCGGGAATCCACTCTCCCTCCATTACAAGACTGGGTAAAGGTGCTGCAGCACCAGAGAATACTATTTCTCTACTGGACACTCGGCATTCCTGCCAACGTTTCACTGAGGCTGCGCTTGCGGCCAATGCTCTAGTGGCTGCTGTTGTCTTTGTTGGACCTGCTAGTTCGTTTCTACCAACTTAAGCTCTCTTCGCATACTCTAATCTTGAAATTATGGCAACGTAATCGAAAATTAGAGGCCATGAGATCGCTCAGCTTCGGGCTGCATGCGCAAATGGCAGCTGAGTCTGCATTGCGCGTTGCTTCGCTCTAAAAATCCAGCCATAGATATCCTCTTGCGAATTCATCCATTTATGCACACGAGTAACTAGGGCTGTTTCCTTTGCTGACATGTAGTTGCAGTGATTACTTCCTTAGAAACGTGGAACAATGATGCTGCTGCAGCAGTAGAACTGTGGAATGCAAAAAGAAATAAAAGACAGTTGCTTCACGCAACCACGCCATTCATCCATCTATTTGATGCTAGGAGTCCTTTTCATTCGCGCCTTTTGCCCTGTTGCTAGTCTTGTCTTGTTCGCGGTGCAACTCTGGTGGCTGGTGTGTAGCGGGGCACGCTACGTATGCGACCGGCCAGGCGACTCTTAGGCCCTTTCTTTTTCATTAGTTTTCCTCAACAAATAATCCGTAAAGAATTGGCTAACTGGTCTGTCTGCCCGTATATATCATATATTGCACAGTACTGTTGGCTCAATACAAGAAGGCACAGTGCTCTGTGTGTCTGTGCGAAAATTCTATTTGCAAAGTACCAGCGAGTGCCTGGAGTGCACAGGGAGCACAGCTACGAGTGGCGTAGCATGTACTCTTCCCTCATGTTGGGGTATGTGAAGGGCACAGGCAGGGAAAGGAGGGCGCTTTCTCGAAATGCACAGTGACTTTCTATTTGGTTTCTATTTTCCCGCTTGACAAGAAGACGCGCAGCTGGAGCGAACCTAGCTGAACTTGTGAACAACTTTGAGTATCTATTTATGGCGGCTCACGCAGGTGCACATGAAGCACTATTGCAGTCTTGAGTTCACTCTCGCGTGCAAAAACGATAGCGTGTCGACTACCATACCCTAGAATGAATACATCACCGAGATATCCAGGTGAATAGAACATGAGTAGGCACGGTTTTGCCCTCTACAGCAGCCAAACATTCGCTTTGCAGGGCATGACTGGACTCCGATCTTGGCGACTTGTGTATGTTCCAGAACTTACATTTTGATAAGTAGGCGATTTCTCATGTGTCCATTTTTTTCTGCACTTTTCCCGCTTTCTGTAGCAGATGATCATGTCCAAACAAGCCACACGCCTAGTTGGCCGGCCCAAAGGCAGCCTTTGATGGTGTGCCCCATGATCGACATGAAATAGCAAGCAAAACTAGTTTCTTATCTGGATTTGGTCTCCGGGTTTGAGTACTTGTACATTTTATAGTATTTGTGCTGGGTCGTGCCTCTTCAGACTGAACTCCTGCTTCTCCACAAAAATGGTTTGCCGGATCGAGCGGTGTGGTTAGTAACAGACTTGGACATACAGTGAATTTTACAGCAAAAAAGGTATAGTAAAGTGCTTTGTAGACTGAAGGGCCTATTGCCAAGCGCCAAGCACCGTGATCGCACCAGAGTTCGTCCTGGAATGTTGGAGCGTATCTAATAAACGTTATCACATTACACATGCCAACAAGTTGCCTTGACCGAGCAAGGCAGGAGCAAACAACACACTGCGAGGACGGTGATGCAATTAGCTTTTTGGGTGTTGAGTTGCCATGCGTATCCAATGTCAAGGTTTTCTGCGCATAGCCCATGGCGTAAAGCAGAGGTGAGGTTAGATGAAAATTCCTAACCTGAATGTTTTCAGAAATTAGGCACCATGTCACACAGAGGCGCACTGATATACACTGCATACAGAATGCATCATTTCAAATAGTAAACAACGTACGAATGGAACCCAGCGCTGAGTGGCAACGTGCACACCCAAAAAAAGGTGTGTAGTTTCCCTCAGCCTCGCTCTTCGTGAGAAAATGGGACCGTCACATCTGATGACAGGTGTATAAGATGAAACAATGTGTCGTTCAAGAGTAAGGGTGCGAACTATCTGAGTTCCCTGAACAAGCACTCAGAAGCATCAGAAGTAATGATCATGGCCTGAACAACCCGTGCACGCTGAATGATAGCAGGTCCAGAGAGCGACATCACCCGGCACTATATCGGTATTTGGTTAGAGTGTCCACTGGATGATTCTTAGGCCGGTGAAATTCAAGTTACCCTGTTCACAGATGTGAAAAACCACAATCGTTTGTACGCACTACCGGAAAGGCCACCGATGTGTAAGGCAAATCTTCGATGAGAGATAATTATATACTAGGTTTAGGGCGTAAAGCATTCCAGTAGGAGGCAACAATGGATCTTCGTACACTGGAAAGTTTGCCATACTGGCATAGGTAGGATTTAGCTGAAGTTCTTCGGGATTAAAAGTCGGATGGAATAATAGCGGAATACCGAATACCATATACATTCCGAAACAGGACCAAAACCAGTCTCTCAGCTCATTTTGCAGATGAAACACCACTGGAATGGAAGCTCGCTGCATTAAAGAAGTCATTCAGGAATTCGATGGTTGCGAGACCCCTGTTGTTTGCGCCTCCAGCTCTGCGCGTGTGATGACTTCATAATTAAGCCAAAGCGTAAGTAAGAAGCTGAAGCAGCAGAACAGGTGGAAAAGCTCGTGGAATCCAAAATGTGTTGGGCATGGGTCGGGCCACCGACTGCCGTACACCAAGGCTCCAACAATGTAGAATCCCGCGAGGGAGAGCACAAGCGCAATTTCCTTTGCTGTTAGAACGCTGATATACGCCTTCAGGAATACAGCGTGTAGCAACCCAATTGCTATGTACGTAAATGCCCGCCGTTGCCTGGCACCGGAGGAAAGATCACCAAACAAAATGATCCAGAACCCTGTAGAAGAAAAACACGGAGGCGAGGTCTTGGCTCGTTGACTACCCAAGTGCTCTAAAGCGGTGATTCTTCCCTGAAGAGCGAGTACACATCCAGTGAGTCAAAGACGGATTGAGTGGACTGAGGAACCTTTGCAAAAAGGCTGATCACCTATTGAAACATAGGAACTCACCGTAAAGAGTAGCCATTCCCTGTACGGAAAGCAGAAGGACCGACGGCCAAAAGTCGAGAAGCAGCATGGGGATGGGGGTCGTGCAGCTGCTTATAACGACAAAGATACCTGAAAGCGTTGCAGCACGCTCGGAAGCGTAATTCCTGAGGGGTCGTTTCAGCATGTAGCTCAGCCATTCCACAAACCCCTTTTCTAGACCAAAAAGACACAACGCCGACATAGTCATGATGACCACTGCCTACAGGTACACCCGGCCGTACTAGTGCATAAGACGCAGAAACCTATACTGAAACAGCCCCCATCTAATGGCCCTTACCTGCATGATCTAGCTTAACAACGAGTGAACGCCATTGCGGGCCCCAAATACCGCTGTGCAGAATGGCGCTGGCGGTAAAATTTGCAAGAAAGGATAGGCAGCTGACCACAGCAGCTATGATGCTGACAACGCTCTTGCATGCGCTCAGCATCAGAACAACCCAGACGGGAGAGAGCAGCAATAGCCCCAGATGAATCTTCCCCCGCAGTTTCGGTCGGACGAGAAGAACATCCTCGTCTGCACTGACAATGGCGAGGCCTGTGGTGTCTCGCGAGTCCGAGGAAGAAATCGAACGGTACTTTGTGGTGCGCCCAACGCCTTCAGGAGAGGAGTTCTCGGTTGGGGTGCTGAGTGTTTCAGCTTTTTCAGAAGGCGCATTCCCTTTCAATCCATGAATGACGCCATGCTGCTCCTCTCCTGAACAGTGACCTCGACAAGATGTCATACCACGGGGCGGTAGCCACATGATGCACTGTATTTCCCTATTACGAAGAATGTGCAACCGTTCAGTTCGTATTCCAGTAAAAACTGGCAATAGTCTGTGACGGCCCCGCACCCCGAAAGCCGACAAACGTTCGTCACTCTACAAACAGGTCCTGTCTGCACGCTCTTGCTAGTACCTCCTCTCCACGAGAGACAAGTAACATGAACACATTTGTCTCTTATGTTGCTGAAGGCCCGAAGCCGTCATCAGAGCGCCAGCCGTGGCGAGAGACCCAGAGACGAACAAGGTGAAGGCACCAGAGGCTGCCACGATTACTACGAGAGGGCGTGGAAACAAAAGTGCAAATGCCGGAAGGCCACCATAAAACGGTGCGAGAGCAAGCCATAAAATGATGTACACACCAAATACCACAGTCCAAACCAAACCGACAAGAGCTCTGCAGCGCCAAGCAGACAGCATGGCTGAAGCTGCCGACACTCTGTTCCTTCGCACCTATTATATCTAGATGGACGAGCGGTTCCCCACTAGATATTCAAAAACAGCCGCACAAAATCTCACGGCAGGGTAAGCAGCTGTAGGGGACACATCACAGACACAAACGGCTGCCGCTTTGCAAGAATATGCTCCCACTCTCAGAAGCCTCGTTACGTGCACGGTGTAACAGATTTCCCGGCTTCAAAACGCAAATATAGGCAGGTTTGCGCTGCACGCATTGCCAAAAGCCGGCACAATGCCACGGGGTTCGGGTCTGACTTTCTTCGCGCCAGTCGATCAAGCATGTAAGCGCGTGAGCGGCTGCCTGACTCCAGATGGTATTAATCACAGTTTACATTATTAAGTAGATTCTTTTTAAAAATGGCGGTCAGTAGTGCTGCTGAAGTACGTTTCTTACAATGAATACCAAAGGATCGGAGGGAACTTCTTATCCGAGTTGTATAGAAACCGGCTAAATGCGTCGTCGTCTCCCAACCAAAAGGAGTTTTCTGCAGGTCACTCGTGAAATGTGTGTATTGGGGTGCAGCCCAATTCTGACAGAGAAATATGCTATCTCTCACTGACCCCATTCAGATAACCCAACACAAGCTTTCGGGAGTTCGAGAGATACAAGCCACCGAGACGAGTGTCTGTTTAGATCAAAAACTGATCACATCTCCGATAATATCTCGTGAAATACTGACTCCGATATCAATAGCCTTTCTTCTCTCTTGTAATAGAGGATGCACGTCAATAACCATTTTCGAAGATTGACCTGGATGGAACTCCTTTAGCTGGAGAATGGCGACAGAATATAGCCGGCGTTCACGAATTTAAATCAGGCTTTACTATTCCACAATCAGCGGACTCACGTTTTCCGGGTTGTCTAGCGTGTTACATTGGAGTTAAAGCCTCCGCAGGCAGGCTATCAGCTCAGTATTCAATACAACTTCACAGGAAGCTATTGTGTGTTTTCAAAGGAAGAGCCACCTTTTTCTACCAGCTCTGCTCGAAGTGCCGACATAAGGAGAGCGGGACAGCTAGAATGCGAGTACCTACAACCTTGAAGCGTAGTGGGCCAAGCCACACTGGGCATTTTCCACTACGGTAGTTTTACTTGACTAAAAGACAGGAAGTGACTAACAATTCTCTCTGTTCGTGTATGGTATTTATTGCTAGGTACTGTTTGCTCGATACACAACGACGCAATGTTGCGTGCGTGTGTGCAAAAAGGATTTGTGCCCCTTCGTACGAAAGCTTTGAATGCATAGAAGGTGTAGCTAGGCGCACCTTAACTGCCCTTCGTCCTTCGTGTCTTGTGTTTAATGGGGTGGGGCCAGAGGGAAGGCTGAAGTTCTCTCTAGAAGCACGCACCAACTTAAGTTTACCTTGTATTGACTCCCGAGCTGTGTCTACATCTGGAGGCCCTTTGTGAAGCTGTACATTAGGCATTCCGAGTATTCGTACCTAGCCGCACAACATATAGCGCACACCATATTGCGTCTTTTCTGTATTGAGCTGGAAGTACGATGCAAATAAGACATAAGAACAGAGAAACTCGTTAGTCTTTCAATTACTAGTTCGTAGCTAAATAAAAGCAGTGTAGCAGAACGTCCAAGTTCAGCTTAACCCGCCGCTCCTTTCCCTCCGCACTACAAAACGTATACCATCGCTGGCTATGCCTGTCTAACGAGACCAAGTGCGTCCAGGACAGCAAATGAGTTCCCAGCCTAACGCCATTCCCAAGGCAAGGAGGAACTCGAAAAACGGCACATTTGAGAATGCAAGGTGTGCATAGACTGACGGAGAGAAGATGAAGGAAAAGAAGATAGAGATAGACACACTAGCCAAAAGCGAACGGGGTGCCAAACCAAAATGACTGGGGGAAAGATGGTTGTCAGTGAGGCGCTGAACTGTGTAAGCATGCTGCTGTGAGGAAACAAAGGACATGTAAAATATGTGGAGAGAATCAAGCTACAAACTAGTCAAGGTGTGCCTCTGCATCTCATAAAGCTATGCTTGACTCACCATAGCCAAATCTCCAGGCTCGAGACACAGCCAACCACCGCTTATCACAATGGTGTGCGGGTCTGTCTTGAGGTTTTCTAATGCCTTTCCGTGCCGTGGCCAATCGTTTTGGGAGCCCTCCGCCTCCTACCGGTGTCTGCTGACCCCGGACTATTGGATCCAGGCGCAGATCAGAGAGTTGCTTTTCAGCGTGGATAGAGATGCGTGAGAGCGAAGGGCAGAAGAGTGGACGTTTGTATCACAAATCACCTCAGAACAAATGTAAGAAAAACAGGCCGAGCAATAGGATATTCTTGAGCAATGTGTCGCCATTACTGCAGAAAGGTGCTATTGGTGCACTCTGTCTGCACATCTACCTCAGGATGATTCACTATGATCATATCATAGCCAATGCGTAGGTTAAAAACGCCCGCCAGAACGCACTAGCGAAGTGCGGGTCCCTATCCGAAAGGATATATCGGTGGAGTTCGTAAATTTTCTAGACATTACTTGAGAAACAGTGAGCGACTTCCTTAGCCGTTAGAGAGCTCGATGGACGGGTGAATGGGTCTATTTTCAGAGCCTGTCGACAACGACGTAGGTGTTGTCCCGAACCTTGACCTGTAGCAGCTTAACGATAACGTTCGAAGTCAGACTAGTCCAAATCCTTTCAGGGATCGCGGTGCGCTTTGAAAGATTTGGCTTACTAGGAAGGATCGACCAAAGCTTTTCACGATTTCGGCATGATGGTGTGTGGTGTTCTGCCGCGAGACGCATCCCAGATAACCAGAATTACTCTAAGAACCTTTTCACTGTAGAGAGAATAGCACCATGATCGGAAGGAACATGGTCCTGTTCTTTGCACAATACGGCAGTGCGATGTGAAGTCAAAGTGTGTAAGCGACAGAGTCCCCGCTGTGTCTGAGCCACAGCAAATCACCTTACCTCGATAGGGCTCCACGCCTTGCCCATTGTGGATTTTGGCTATTCTAGCCGTTTTACGGCTGGCAAAAGCATAAGGCTGACGTACTGTGGATCGTCACAAAAGAGTGCTTGCGCTGCACAGGAGCGATCCTCTGTGGCGTCGAGAGATCGCTCCAATGATCACGTTGGGGATGCTCTTCATATACGACTGTCAAGGCGTGCTGCAGGAGGTATGCAAGCAAGTGAACAACTCTGGGATTATCAGCATCGCAAAAGCTTTTCGTAAGGTACGATAAAGACGGATGGCCGATTTGGTCAGGAAAGTGACGCCCAAATAGGCGTTGCCGGCATTCTTGACGCCACACCAGACAGCGAGGAGTTTCTTTTCTCGCACCGAATAACGCTGCTCGGTTTTCTTGGGGTGGTGAAGTATGACAAGCAAGAATTCGGTGTTTTGTAGAGCCTGAAGTTTATGGGACAAAAATAGGGCCCACCGCTCCTGTAGGAGCGTGGGATGGAGTGAAGAAATGGCTATCATTATCGGGCAGAGTGAGTGCCGGTGGTTAAGCGGATCAGTCAAAGGAGAAGTGATATGAACAGATCCAAAGCTGAACTCCCGATGATACGACGCAAGCCCATTGAATTCCCCAATGTCTCTGTGCGGGGTTCAATGTAAAGATCATGCCTTGAGTGCTTCAATTTTGCGGGATCTAGCGCAACTCTCGCAGCCAAAATATGAGAGCCTAGAAACACAAACTCCTAATGAGAAATGAGGACTTGCCTGTATTCACACACCACCGCTTGCCCCGCAGCAGCCGAGGCGCACGCCGTATGTGCTTTTGGTGTTCTCGAACTTTTGATGAATACCAAAATGTTGTTCTATACAGACCGCCATCAAGCCCTCCTTTGTCGTTTTTGGCGTAGCAATAGGAGTGTGAAGAACGCTGTGTAAGCCTACTAGGTTGTCAAGCAGCTGAAATTGAAATGCTTTGAGTGTTCAGGGCGTTCCCCAAACCACGCTGACTGCCCCCCTCCTCGCTTCTTCCGAAGGCCTGGGGAGTAATGTCAAGGCGAGCAGGGATCTTTTGAAGGAACGCTGCATGCGTTTCTACTTACTTTAGGTGGGTTTGGGTATGGAGGCGTTCTTACGGGGACACCAGGTACAGCGCCACGTAGCGGGCTCCGTGCACAGGCATACATTTCATGTCCCACCATGATTGAGTTTGACGCATGCTACATTTTATAGAATCTCTAGCATCGACAGTACTTAGCCAGCTATAATGAGCCGCATGGAAGTGAGCTAAGGGGAACTTCCTCAAGCATCCTCCGAAGAATCGCTTGGCTCTCTAACAGCAGGACCACAAAAACGGAGGGCCTATACAAAAAAGTGCAACGATGCGGACCAGAACACGTGACAAGCTACTGCGGCGGAGCGAAAGAGAGAGCAACTGTGTTGCTGGTATCTCCCTGATGCGAGTTCAGTGGCGTCTTTGCACGCTGCTTCAGAGGGGAAAATGTAGCTCTGGTACGCCAAGATGAATGTGGATGAAAGAGAGGACACTAGGAAGGATCTGTGAAAGTGCAGTGATACGCACTCTTTTCCGCATTTTGCCCTTTTGAAGAAGCGGGTAGTCACAGAACATGCGCATTGAGGCGCAATTCAAGTTGACCCCATGCACCATGCACTGAGGATGAAGGTTAAAAACGTCTTCTGCCTGTGCTGCCCTGCGCGTGCTACCTCCTTCGGGTTTGCCACTCTCGCAGTGTTTTGAGGATCGTAGTTCCTCGTCTGCAATGTCTCTGCTCGGGTCGTAAGTCAGTGTGTTACTCGTGTCTATCAAAAGAGCACCCACCAGGGCACATGATGACTGCCTTAAAAGAGGCACCCTATTGACCGCCGCTAGTGAGGCTATTCCTAGAATCAGTGAAGCGAGGAAGCAGCAGCCAATGACTGCCTCCGTAAGCAGCAAACAGAACCCGCCAGGCTCTATGCAGAGTAAACGTGTCAAGGAGAAGGCGTGCAGGATGATGCGCAGCAAAAGTTTAGTCGTCGTATATCCCGAAACCACCACAGTGCGGTTGTTGCTGCTGCTGCACCTGGTAAGCGGTCTGCGCCATGGCTGCCTCGTACATTGCAATTTGAGGCTGATCTGCCACACGCTGCATCGCCAGTTGCTGTAGTTGTAGAGCCCTATCCCGAAGCCACGCTGAAGGCGATCCAGGAGGATTGAAGAGGAAGCAGTTGGACACGATGAGGTCGATGTCTGCCTTGAAGGCAGCCACAGAAGTGTACTGTCTCTCCCTGCATTTGGAAAGAATCTTTCGCAGAAACATCGGCTTCTTGACGATCACGGAATATCCAGGGGCCACACGATCATCTACGCGGCTTACGAACGGCTGCAGCAAGACACATACATACATACGTAGATACATGCATAACATACATAGCACACATACATAACATACATAAACATACATATATATACATAAATATACATACATACATAGATACATAACATATACACATACATAACATACATAAACATACATACATATACATGAATATACATACATAGATACATATACATATACACATACATAACATATACATAAATATACATACACGGCCGATTGCGCGCCGCCTGCAAGCAGTTTGGAAGCGCAACAAAGTGAGCGAGACGCTAGAAGCACTAGTGCCACAAATTACGGACGAGGCACATCATGAAGACGGAAGAAGAGCGAGAAGAACCACGTCAGAAACAGTGTGGGCGCAAAACACAGATAGGCATGACTACTTTGGCTCAACCAACACTATAGAATGTCGAGAAGAAGAACGTGCTGGCGGTAAGGCAGCATCCAGCATAAGCAGAAAAAAATTCCTTACCTTAAGAGACTGTTGCTGCAGCAGCAAGTTGACGACTCTGGCGAATGCCACGTTGAGAGCATCGAGGGGTTGCTGCGAGTTTGCCAGGCGATCTCCATCTGCTGCGCCTCCTCCTCCTCCTGGTTTGCTTCGCTTTCGAGTTGTCAGAGATCGACTCGACCTAGAAAGGGTGCTTTTAGGTGCCTTGCTGACACCCTCGAACTCCTCTTCGGAGTAAGGTTCATCCTCAAAGGCACTGTCGAAAGCAGCATCCCCCCCTGAGTCTCCTCCCGCGCCTCCCCGAACGATGCCCTCTTCATCGCCGCTGTCTTCTTCGCTGCTCTCGCTACTGCCTCCTCCAGCAGCCATTGCCAAGGTACTCTCGCCACGACGAGGTCGGCCTGAGGGAGAAAGGGGAACCCCCCCCGCGCTCGCGCTGCAGAGAGAACCTCCCCCTTCTAAACCTGGCTCAGCTGTCAACAGCAGATCCAAGTCGTTCCCAAAGCCTCGACGCTTCTTCTTCTTCACCACCATCGGCTCTGTCAGCGTCGACCCCAAACGCTTTGGACCTCTGTACAGAGGACAATTCTGCACCAAAAGAGAGAAAAAGAGAGCTCAAATGCCACTCACACATGTAAGATACACACATATTTCCAATCTCGTGCCCTCCAACAAAGGCTCTCCAACATAGCCGCCTGTCGAAGCTGCTTTGTGTCGCAACGAGAGCCGATGACGCCTGCCAGTTACACGGTAAAAGCTCACTCACTCACTCTCTATCTCTATCTTTCACCGTGGCCAACTCTCCTTCACTCTCTCCAAGTTTCTATCACTCTCTCTCTCTATCTCTCTCTTTCACTCTCTCACTCACTCTCTATCATCCTCTCCAACTCTCTATCTCTATCTCTCTATCTCTATCTCCCTCTCTATCTCCAACTCTCTATCTCTCTCTCTCTCTCCAACTCTCTATCTCTCTCTCTCCAACTCTCTATCTCTCTCTCTCCAACTCTCTATCTCTCTCTCTCCCCTTCACTCTCTCCAAAACTTTCCATCTATCACTCTCTCCTTTCACTCTGTTTCTGACTTGCCGAGTGTGTGTGTGTAACCATACGCTTAAAACATTCCCACGCTGCCTTTGTTACCCACGGCTATACTCCAGAAGTGCTTCCTCGCTCACCACATTGGAGGCGATATGCCCTGGCCTTCCACAAGCTCTACACACCCTTTTCCCCGCAAGCGCCTCCTTGGTGTGCACTGCGCTCATCTGGTGCTGCAGAAAAACAGCGGAAATACATAATGAAGAAAGTTCGTCGTAGTGAGAACACTCGAGGAAAATGCAAAGACTCCCCTCTCTACCCACACACCCTCCTTAAACCGCGCGACAGGAAAAAACAAAAAAACTTCTCCGAATGCCTGCAACGGACCTGTCGTTTCTTCTCAAGTCGCTGATCTCTCCACGCGAGGAACGCCTTGATGTTCTCAGCGCCGTAGATCAAAATGCAACGGTCTGCCGTAAAAGAATCTCCAACTTGCTGCCGTCTCTTCCGTGTCCACCTCAGGCACGGCACAGCTCTCACCTACACAGCCAGGAAAAAGCAAGCGACCATCCCACACATAAAACAAACAGAACAAAGGAAAAAACGCAGACATATACATACAGAGAATTCAAGATAGATAGACACACAACATACACCTACATGACAAACACACATAACACACAGCCATACAGGCATACAGAACAAACGCAAAAATGCAGGCATATATATACAGAGTATTTACGATATACATACACACAACATACACCTACATGACAAACACACAGAACACACAGCCATACAGAACAAACGCAAAAATGCAGACAGATACACACAGAGTTTTTACGATATACATACACACAACATACACCTACATGACAAACACACATAACACACAGCCATACAGGCATACAGAACAAACGCAAAATTGCAGACAGATACACACAGAGTATTCACGATATACATACACACAGCATACACCTACATGACAAACACACATAACACAGCCATACAGGCATACAGAACAAACGCAAAAATGCAGGCATATATATACAGAGTATTCACGATATACATACACACAGCATACACCGATATGACAAACACACATAACACACAGCCATACAGACCGAACGCAAAAATGCAGACAGATACATACACACACACACATACACATACACATACATACATATACACATACATATACGCATACACACATCCATAAACATCGAAGAAAATGATATAACCGAAGCGTTGTGAAGCCTCTAAACAGAGAGGGGGGGGCATGCGGAGTGGCCGTGTTGAACTCCTGGTGTGGCGATACGTCGAGAAGAATTTTCGACAGCCGAGATGCAGTAGACTGGATCTTTCAGAGGGCACATAGCTGGCGTAGATTCCTTTACACGGTGGTAACAAATTAATGTTTCGCCACACAGAGATCTTCGGAAAGTCTCCTCCACGGCTTGCCGCAAAGAGAGCGTTGCTTACCGTCGCTTCTGCCCTCAGTTGTTCTTCCTGCGTGAGGGGACGCTGGCTGCGAGCTTCTTGACGGTCTCTAAGAACCTGCAGTTCTCGCATTTCTAATTCTGCCTCGTCGGCTTGCTGCAACAAAAAGCCACCAAGTCGAAGTGCAAGTCGCAGAGAGCTGAAAGCCGTAGAACGCGGTGCACGCGTCGCCAGACCCCATAGGGTGAATGTTCTTCGTCAAGCGCAATGTGGAGAGATTGTACGACTCGGAGGAAGGATGCATACATATATTCAAAAGGCAGTGAAAGAGAAAGAGAGAGAAAGCGTGTGTATGTGTATAGGGGGGTGGGTGGGTGGGGAGAAGAGAGGAGGAGAAAGGAGCCAACCCAAAGGACAAGGCGAATGCTGGGCAGTACAAGAGGAGATGAAAGCATAGCTTCCAAAAGCTCTAAAACGGCTTCAGTGGGGGTATGTCGTTGGCTCAAGACCCCTCCTTCTTGTGTTTCTGTGTGCACGTGTAACACTGTATCTGTGTGTGTATGTGTGTGAATGTGTATCTATATATCTGTGTGTACCTCTGTGTGTGTGTGTGTATATCTGTGTGTGTGCGTATCTGTGTATATTTGCGTGTATATATCTGTGTGTATGCGTGTCTGTGTATATTTGTGTGTATATATCTGTGTGCACATCTGTGTGTTGACGCGGTACGTTCAGATTGTCTGACAGCGTGAAAGTCGCGGAAAACAGATGACACCCACGTCTAATCGACTGCGAAACACCTGCAGTTTCACATATGCGAAAGCGAATGTTACCTCATGATCCGAATCCTCACACCCAGCAAACAGCGCATCAGCGACGTCTTCGCCTGCTCCGAGCTGCTGGTGTGGGTTTGGTCCAGCTGCTGCAGTACTCGCACCATCCGTGAGTTGCTGCAGCTGCAAAGGAGGAGTCTGCATCTCATCTTCTGTGTCTGTAACAACGGGCAGATCAGCTCGGAGGGCAGCTTGCTGCCTCTTGAGGATGCTCGCCAGCTTTGCTTCATACTCTTCTGCTGGAAGACGCGTTCCAGCTCCTCTATTTCCCTTGCCGCTGCTTTCCTCAGCACCAAATCCGTCGCGATATTGGCGAACAAGCGCAACTTGATCCCATCTATGCGCAGCAGCAGAAGCAACAGCAGAAGCAGATGATCGAAAAAAAACGTAGCGTTATTTGTTGCATGCATGCATGCATGCGAGAAAAAGAAGCAGCAGCAGCAGAAGCAGCAGCAGCAGCAGAAGCAGATGATCGAAAAAATCGCGGGCTTTATTGTTGCACGCATGGATAGCATGCGAGAAAGAGAAGCAGCAGCAGCAGACATAGATGATCGAAAGAACAAAGCGGCTTTGTTGTTGCACGCATGGATAGCATGCGAGAAGAAGAAGCAGCAGCAGACACAGAGGATCGATAAAGCAAACGCGGCTTTATTGTTGCACGCATGCATAGCATGGGAGAAGAAGAAGCAGCAGCAGACACAGAGGATCGAAAAAAATCGCGGGCTTTATTGTTGCATGCATGCATAGCATGCGGGCAGAAGAAGCAGCAGCAGCAGAAGCAACACCAGCAGACATAGAAGTGCGAAGACAGCAGAGCATCTGAGCTTCAGAAAGCGACAGTGCGATCACAGTTTGCCGCGTGCGGCAAGGTTTAAGAGAGAAGACATGAGAAAAGGCTGCTCGAAGGACTAAAAGAAGGAGAGAGGACTGGCTAGAAAGGCAACTTCCGTCTAGTCTGACGCATGGCACAGCCCGCAAGACGCCTTTGCATGCGGAGCAGCAGAAACAGGAGAGGCTGTGGAAATAGCCTTTGCTGCCAAGCGTCTTGCGAGCTTTCTTTGGAGCAGGCTCTCGCAGACTGAGAGGAGCGAGTCACGCATGCATACCCATGCACGTAATCCGTGATCTTCGCATTTGGTGCCGTTAATATTTACCTCGGAAGTGTTCTAATGACTGCGTCGCTGAGCCCATACTGGAGCAGTCTCGCCCTTAACTCCATCATTCCAAGTTTCCGAAGATCATCGACTGTGCCCGCAATGCCACCTGCCGCTTGCCTCCGAGTCGCTTGTTGCACTGCGAGAGGATTGTTGCTGTTGCGAATCCTGCTGCCGCGCTTCAAGAGAGTGATGCCTTCTCCCCTCCCGCAGGAGGGATCTCCAAAGCCAGTCAGCAGAAATTGAGCCGAGCCTTTGTTTTGCAGCACTTCTCGACATTCCTTCGTTGTTTGCCACGGCACGGAGAGAAGCAGTTCCTCGATAAAACGGATGAGCGGAGAGTAACGGCGACCAGCTCTGCTGTTTGAGAACTGCATGAAAAGCTGCTGCAGCTGCTGCTTTTCCGCCGCAGCTGCCTCCGCTACTCCAGCGTTTGAGAGGCCAAGAGCTTCTCGCCGCTGCTGCTGCTGCAGCTGCAGCTGCCTGAGCCGTCGACGTGCAGCAGCTGCTGCTTGCTGCTGCTTTCGCTCTTCCGCCTCCACGAATGCGCATGCGCTACTGAGCCCGTCGGGGGTTGTCAGGGAGACGATGCCTACTGCGCGAAGGCGATACCAGGCGGCATGGGAACTCTCCAAGGCACACACAGCTTCTGGAGAGATGATAGAAGTAATCGATGACTCTGGAAGAACTGGCAAACGGTGGGGAGCAATGGGAGACAGCTGCTTGAGTAGCTGAGCCACTTCCTTCTCTATCACTGGGGGACAAAAACGAGATTTCATCAACTCCTTGACACGCTTCAACTCCATGACTCCCGTCTCACGAACGTACCTGCAAGGCGCATATAAAGTAACACACACACACACAAAACACGCAGAAAAAGCGCATGCCCACAAGCCACCCATGAACCGCTACCGCTGCAGCGGAGCGATGCAACGACCTTTACAGAGGAAATGCCAAGTGACGCAGCGGAGAAAAAGTGAGAGAAGCAAATAAAAATAAAAGGGAAAAAATACAAAGGACGAGGGAAATATAGAGAGACAGAAAAGAGAAATAGGAAGAGAGAAAAGAAAAATATAGAGAGAAAAGAGAAATGCAGAAAGGAGTGCAATATAGCGAGAAAAGAGAAATACAGAAAGGAGTGCAATATAGAGAGCATAGAGGAATAGAGAGAGAAGAAAGCCATAGGAAGAGCGAAGAGAAATACAGAGAGAAAAGAGAAATACAGAGAGAAAAGAGAAACAGAGAGAGAAAAGAGAAATATAGGGGGAGAGAAAATCGAGAGAGAAAAGAGAAATCGAGAGGGAAAAGAGAAATCAAGAGAGAGAAAGGAGGACAGGTAGAGAGAAAAGAGAATCAAAGAGAGAAGAAGAATTAAAGAGAGAAAAGAGAGATATCGAGAAAAGAGAAAAAGAGAGAGAAAACTACAGAGAACAACACACAGAGAGAGGAACAACATACAGATCCTCGCAACTGCAACTGAAAAAGACTGAGAAGCAGCAGCATTTCATTTCGAGATTACACTGACGCTATGCATCCGGAAAGAGCTTAACCCCCCTCCCGCCTTCTCCCCATATCCCTCTAGAACCAGGAAAAGCATAAATATAGTTCACTCTCAAACTGCCATGTTCGCTCTCATTGGCTCCGTATGCGGCGATGCAATCTCCAAGTGTTCAAGTTTTGCTGCCTCTGCGAGAAAATCCGCCTTTTCTTGTTTCTGGAGATAGCGTCTCCCCCCATGCCCCTCCTTCCCATAAGCGGCAATGCAAGTACACCCCAAACATGCCACTGCGAGAGCTCTCTCTCTTTCTCTGTTTTCTCTATTTTTCTCTTTCTCTGTCTTTCTCTCTCTCTCTCTCTCACTCTATGTCTATATTTATGTAGGCCGTCCTTTTCTGATGTACACACACTGCAGCGAGCTGAGCTGCATACAGCTTTTTCTGGGAATGTGCAACGCTACCTGAGCGCCCAAGCTTTTGACTGAAGCTTTCGTTCGTCTAGCAGCTTTTTTGATTGCGGCGCAGGAACCTCCACTTTCGGCTGCAGCTGTCCAACGGTGTAGATGCAGCAGTTCTCCGTACTTCCCAGAAGCGTCAGCCTGCTGCTGCTGCTGTTGCTGCTGCTGAAGCACGACGGGTAGGCTGCTACCGCTTCGGCAGAGAATACCATTGGTCGAAGGTAGTGCTGAGGTCGAAAATGCACGAAGCAGCGTATCCAAAAAACGTCATTTCGAGAGCAGTGAAATGCAAACAAATATCGACTAGCAACCCTCATACAGAGTAATCCTGCCCAAGGCAGAGCGCTGTAGGCGGGCTGAAATCCTGCATCTACAGAGCACCCCCACTGCTGCCGATCCTTCTCCAACAAATATACAGACACACATATACATATATATACATACACTGCGTTTTACGGAGCTGGCAAAGCACCGCAGCAGCACTCAACATGCAAGCTAAACGGCCCTACCCACGTGTAGCATCCGCGCACAGAAAAATACGCAGTGGCAATCGCTACTAGGCTAAAATGCTGCCGTCACGGAAATACAGGTAATTCAGCAGCAGCATAAGACAGCATGCGGCTCGCTCCTCCCTCTCCCCTTCCTCCTCTAGACAAGCTGCGCTGCTGCGCATGCAAACAACTCACCCTCCACCCGTCTTTGTGCCGTCTGCGGATAAGGAGGAAGTCGCCTCTCCGAGGATCATTAAAGCGCCCTTCTGGCCCAGGAGGAAACTGTGGATTCTGCGGATGAGGAAAGACGAGAGCAGAAAACAAAGAGCACTCCACGACAGCCTGGCCCTCACCTGAGGCACCCTCACACATACATACACCCATACATACATACATACATCGCAGCAGCAGCAATAGCAACAACAATAATAACAATAATAACAACGATAACAATAACAACAATACCAATTACAATAACGAAATTAACAACAACAACAATAACAATACTAACAACAACAATGACAACGATAACAATAACAACAATAGGCGGCAATCGTCCGAAGGAGCCAACACTCGCCTCGCGCGTCATCAGCGAAGGGGTGTATGTGCGGGGGTGGGGAGCAGCACTTAAATAGGCTTACACAGAACAGACAACACTACGCGAGAGCAGCAGCAGCAGCAGCAGCAGCAGCAGCAGCAGCAGCAGCAACAGCAGCAGTAACAGAGCTGCATGACGGCAAAAGTCATGGAATATATACATAGTGCCTCGTAGAGCCTCATCTGCAGCGGCCAGACGTCTTGCTCCCCCCAGTCGCTGCAGAAGCGAAGAAAGGAGGCAGCCAGACACTCTCAGTCGCCCAACACACACACCCCTTTCTAGCGGAATATCCGTTCCAAAGAGACTTGGAGGCTTCTCATTTTGTTCCACGAGGCGTAAATCTCCAAAAGTACCCAATGAGCCCTGCAGCGAGATGCATGCAGCATGCGCGAAAAAGAGCACTAACGAGCTAACTATACATTAAAAATATATACAATATATATATGCATATATAAATATATATATATATCTGTAATATATACATACACATACATGGATATGTGTATATAAAAGGGCAGGAGAAACGAGTCGATATCGCGTGAAAGCTGCCTTTAAGGAGGGGCCTATTGAAAGGGGTTGAAAGTGTGTGTGTAAGTGTGTGTGTGTGTATGTGTAAGTGTGTCTGTGTAAGTGTGTCTGTGTAAGTGTGTGTGTGTGTAAGTGTGTGTGGGGTAATACCTGCAGCCGTTCCTCTTCTGCTCGAATTCTCTCCGCTTTGATTTGAGGCTGTGCGCTGGCGGCAGACCCCTGAAGTGGTGCTGAGAGGGGTCGAACGTATCGAGTAACACGTAAAGACATTCCTGGGTTGTTAACGATGAAGGGTTGCTGCTCTGTGTGCTCGAGGACTACAAAAGGGCAGTCGTCGCTCAGCGTGAGATCCTTTGGAGAATAAAAGCACAAAGAGGGGTGAGAATCCCCCATAACCCCCTGAGAAGGCATGCTGCCTGCTACAGTGCTCTCAAAGTCGACTGTATCTCCTGCTCCCACGAAAGAGGCATCCGAATTTCGACGCAAGACTTCGCTGCCAACGGGGGGACTGAAAACAGAAGGGAAGAAACGGATGAAGAGGAGGGAGATACATGCATATATGCATATATGCATATATATGTATACATATATATTATACATATATAGCATATATATATTTATGTTTGCACGCGTGAGTGCCAGGAAAATGCGTGGATGCTTGTGGCGAGACAGCGAACGTCGTGAGAGAGAGAGAGAGTGAATGCGGCAGTGACTCTCTCTCTCTCTCAGGCTCATGAGACACGACATGGAGGAAGGAGACATAGAGCCCGCAGTAGCCTCCGGCGCTTTCACCGCGCGAGAAAGGCTTAATGAAAAAGGGGAGGATCTAGCGGAAGCAGCGGGGACGAAGGCAGGAGGTGCAGCCGTCTACGACTCAAAAAAAGGAGACGAGTAGAGGAGGTAAGAAAAAGAGAAGCAGAGGGGAGGAGTAGACGGGGGTAGAAAACAAAGAGAAGCAGAAAACTAGACGAATGTAAAAAGAGAAGTAGAGGACTAGATGAATGTAAAAAGAGAAGAAGAGAACTAGACGAATGTAAAAAGAGAAGTGGAAGACTAGACGAATGTACGAAGAGAAGAGTAGAGGACTAGATGAATGTGAAGAGAGAAGTAGAGGACCAGACGAATGTAAAAAGAGAAGAAGAGGACTAGACGAATGTATGAAGAGAAGCAGAGAACTAGACGAAGGTAAAAAGAGAAGTAGAGGACTAGATGAATGTGAAGAGAGGAGAGGAGAAGAGGAGAGGAGTAAACGGGGGGGTGGGTGTATTTTTCCGACAGCAAACTGTAGGAAGGAGAGGCCTCTCTCGAAGCACCACAGAGCTTGTTGCGTTGTATGCATCGAAGGATGCATACAACGGGGAGTGAGATTTTTGAGCTTGTTTCGAACAGCAACGCAAGAGAGAGAGAGAGACATCGAGCAAGCAAGCGAGAGAGAAAGAAAGGTGAACGAGCGTACAGCACAATCCAAGGCTTCTCTGCAGCAGATACGCCTCCCCGTTTGCGCGAAGTTGGATTTGCAAAGCTGGAACGAATATCAGGCCTGTGAAATCTCAGCATTGCCACTCGCGCTCTTCGACCAGCTACAGGCGAGACACCATACAGCTGAAGTGCTGCCTTCACGTGCAGCAGCGGAGCTCCTCCTGCAGTAGCCGCAAAGAATTTGTACGCAGTAAGAGGAGGCAGACTGAGGAATCTATGCATGAGAAGGCGCAGTCTTGCCGCGAGGCGAGAACGATGCAATCACTCCGCACAAGGCCTCTTTTCAGCAAAGTGCATCCGCACAACCTCTCCTTTCATAAAAATCCCCCTCTTTTCCCGTTAAAATTCCGCTGCTGACACACATTTTGTTACGACTGTGTTTTGTACCTCTTGCGGCTTGTCCATGCTCTCTCTGGTGTATCTGCCGCTTCACGAAATCCGCGTCGAATGAAACATTCAAACGCTGCAGCAACTCTCGCTGCCTTCCGCCTCCATACTCCGCCGCTGTCAGCAGAAACTCCTGCAGCGGCGTGCGCATTCTGAACTCGCGACTCAGCTCCTGCACAGACGGATAGACAGACAGACAGTAGCAGCAAAACAGTGCATCTCGCGAAGGCGGTAGAGCGCGTGCTGCTGCTGCTACACAAGTGACAGCCCTCTAAGCAAGAGACTCAAGGCATGCAGCGGCTCACACCGCCACAGAGACTACGCCAGATCCACCATTGAAGAAAGCGAGAAGGGAGATTGAAAAAGAAAGAGGAAAGAAAAGAGGGAGATAGGAAGAGAGGATGAGGAAAGAGAGAAGGGAGGTAGAAAGAGGAGGGAAGGAGCAGGTGCAGCGCAGCCATGAACATCCTTGAAAAACACCACACAGGAAATTGTTGGGGGCATTTCTGCAACAAACAGTATGGCTGCTGTATTACTGCTACGAACAGTATGGATGCTGTATTCCTGCTACAAACACTACTGCTACTGCAACAAACACTATTGCTGCTGTACTACTGCTATGAACACTGCTACTGCAACGCAAAACTCTATTGCTGCTGCTGCTGCTGCAAGCGCATCTCCGAAGCGACTTGAAAGCCACGACTTAAAGGGCACGACACCCCAAAAGCAGCTGCAGCGGATTCGGGAGCAGCATCTAGAGCGGTGATGCATGCAAAGGTGCATGCAACTTTGCATGCAACTTTGTATCAAGACGTACCTCTGCGGCTGCAAGTGCCCTCAACTCGTAAGCACTTTTGCCTTGTTTGACAAGTTCAATTCTGCGTTGCTTGTCGATCTTGAGCACTTCCTGCTTTGCGCGTCTTCGCATTTTCTGCAGCTGCGCACGGCTAGGCCCTTGCGCAGAGTTTGCTGCTGCTGCGGATGCTGCTGAAGCGACAGTTGGATGTGAAGGAGTGGGGATGGGGGGAAGCGCCCCTGCACTGCTGCTGCTGCTGCTGCTGCCACTCACTCCTCCCGCTTTCTCAGCACTGCTGATGCAAGCCGCAGAAGCTCCTGACAGAGCAGCACCAACACCTGTTGGTTCGTCGCTCTCGTCAATGCCAGCCTGCAAAGAAACAGCACGGCTGCATCCGCCTCATATGCTGTAAGGCCTATCCTTATCGTATTCTTATCCTTATCTCCTTCTCTGCTTATCTCCTTCTCTCCTTATCCTTCTGCTCCAAAACAAGGGTCCAAAGCCTCCCTTTAAAGCGAGAGCTGCTGCTTCAGCACAGCACAACTCGTGCTAGCAAGTGTGCATGCAAAGCTCACCTCGATAGGCAGTGCAAAAGCCGCCGAACTGTCGTTCAGGTCCAAGAAGAAGCAGCGCAACAGCCGTTCGCGCTGTCTGTACAGCGCCCGTTGGTGTTGCCGCTTCATTAGCCACACCTCTCCCCACTGATACACCAGTCCCTTCTCGCCGCTGCTGCTAGTGCTTCGGCTCTTGTCGATTGCAGCGACAAGAGCCGAAGCATCAGAGGTCACATGCTGCACTGTTGCTGGGAAGGGGTGACTTGCAATGCAGGCTGCATCTTTGCGCACCAACAGTCGCGGGTTGTGCAGCTGCCGCGAGGCAGGAACGAGGGGAAAGACTGCTGGGGAAGACTGCTGGAGAACATGCAGAACTGGACGACATGCGAGCAGCAAAGACAAGAAGCGGATCCCCTGCTCGCGCTGTAGCAACACCTGCGACTCCCCACAGGGAAGGGCAAGCGGCGAGTTTTGTGAGGCATTAGGAGCATGGCTGTGCCTGTATCAAGTCGCATCAAACGAAACGCACAGAGTGGCTGATTAAAAGCACGTCGTGGGGGGGAGAAGAGGGGAGGCATGAAGAAGGAATGGAGAAGAAGAGGGAAGAATGGAGAAGAAGAGGGAAGAATGGAGAAGAAGAAGGAAGAACGGAGAAGAAGAGGGAAGAATGGAGAAGAAGAGGGATGAATGGAGAAGAAGAGGGAAGAATGGAGAAGAAGAGGGAAGAATGGAGAAGAAGAAGGAAGAACGGAGAAGAAGAAGGAAGAATGGAGAAGAAGAGGGAAGAATGGAGAAGAAGAGGGAAGAATGCAGAAGAAGAGGGAAGAATGGAGAAGAAGAGGGAAGAATGGAGAAGAAGAAGGAAGAATGGAGAAGAAGAAGGAAGAATGCAGAAGAAGAGGGAAGAATGGAGAAGAAGAGGGAAGAATGGAGAAGAAGAAGGAAGAATGCAGAAGAAGAAGGAAGAATGGAGAAGAAGAGGGAAGAATGGAGAAGAAGAGGGAAGAATGGAGAAGAAGAAGGAAGAACGGAGAAGAAGAAGGAAGAATGGAGAAGAAGAGGGAAGAATGGAGAAGAAGAGGGAAGAATGGAGAAGAAGAGGGAAGAATGGAGAAGAAGAGGGAAGAATGGAGAAGAAGAAGGAAGAATGGAGAAGAAGAGGGAAGAATGGAGAAGAAGAGGGAAGAATGGAGAAGAAGAGGGAAGAATGGAGAAGAAGA